TCCAATGTGAGGTCTTCAACTCCGGACGAGTTATCTCTATTTATCTCTCTCGCTTTCCCTATCTCTCTCCATCTCTATCTATCTATCTCTCTAACATTCCATCCCCCCTCTCTCATTCTTACTTTCCGTCTCTCATTTCTTCCGTCATCCTAAATTGTATTACAATTGAGACACCTGCATCTCTCTCCCTTTTTCTTCTTCTCCATCTTCTTTTATCTTCTTCCTCATTTTTTCGTTCTTCATTTACAGTGTCTTTGACTTCTACTTCTTCTCTCTTTATCGTCCTTGTCTTCTCCGAATTAGGCTTCATCTTTTTCATTCAATTTTTTTCTTCCTATTATTATCTCATATTTTTCCTCTTCCTCATCTGCTTCGTCTTCATTTACTCATACTTTTATCTTTGCATTTACCTTCTTTCTGATATATATTTTTGTTCTTATATTTCATCGTCTCTAACTTTTTTTATACCATATTCATATTTTGGACGTTCTTTTTTTCTCCAATTTTTACTCATTTCCGTCCCCATCATCTTCTCCTTAATATTCTATGTCTTACTTGAATTCTTATATTCTTCTGATTTTTCTTAGTCGCTCTCCTTATCTTCACTTTCTTCTACTTCATCTACACCATCTTCTTGTTTTCTTATTCTTCTACTTCGTCTATTCCTGCATTGTCTCAGATGAAGACATGCAATTGATCAGTTTCCTTCATCTAGCAAACCTCAACGACTAAAATATTTAATTTTCTCCTAAAATGATCAAGTGAAAAACACTTATAAATGTCTTACTTTGAACGAAGTTCTCATTGACATCACTAATTCTTACACAATAAAAAATGACATTCATTTTATCTCCTGAACAACTCTTTTCTCATAAAGAAAGAGGAAAAAGGTTAACCTGATTAACTCTATCTCTAACTTGCGCTAACTAAATATTCGTATTTTCTTGTTTTCAGATAATATTCCCTTAGACCAGAAGTCCCATTGATGAAGGTATCTTCAGGACAAGGGATCGTTAAGCAAGCCACCAATGGGATGATCGAACCTGAACTCTTCATCGGATTTACTAAGCAAAGCTTGAAACGATGACTGGCTCAAATTTGTGTCATGAACTATATATCACTTCTTCTGGACCTGGTCTGAGTCACCATACACCGCAAGAAACCCTTTTGGCGTTACAGAAGGGCTAAGAAACTTATTTTCACCCAAGAGACCTCTCACTTCAGCAGAGATTTGGCTAAGCCCCTGAATTATGATACAAAAAGGATTAGCATTTCTATAAAGAAGGAAGATTAGTCAATAAGGACTTACGTGGAAATGCTGTGTCCCATAAGGACTTACGGCCATCGTGTCCCATATAAGAAAGAAAGACAATGAAGATTTCATTGAGTTAGCTGAAGAATAAAAGTGTGGAAAAAGACATTCAATAATCAATTATATCATCTAATGGCCATGATTCATGGTATATTGGTTTTGAAAAATTTTTGAGTATAAGAAATAAAAGATACAACTGCAAACTAAATTTGAAAAGCAAAACAATTGTGGCAATGAATCCTTACTTTAGAAGTTTGCTGGTCAGTGTTAAGCTTGTTGGAAATCGTACCTTGGGTTTTGCTGCAAATTTTTGTTACAATGATTTTCCATATCAGGATGATGGTGAAGTGTAAAGTAAAATGATCAACTGAAAAAAAAAAAAAGACGGATAGATAAACAAAACCAAAAGATCGACATCTCAAACATAATCACAAACGAATATATCTATAAAACATAAGTGTAACAAACGAACATAACTCAAAATTCTTCCTTTTGGCATCTCGACAATAGATGTATTTAGAAAAACTGTACAACATCAATAAAGAAGAACCTAGTTTTGTAATACCGTAATGGTAAATTAATACACATATATTTATAACCACCAATTGAGTAGGTTTTTGTACAAAAATTTACATTATATAAATAACAGGCGGCCGAGCTACGTGCTTCAGCCCTAAACCCTAAAACACTTACATATTAACAACTGGAAGAACATCTACGAAAAAATAAACAATGTATATGATTAAAAAACGTGATCACAAAATCAACAAAAAAAACATATCATCAAACATATCAATTACAACACAAAAATAAAGATCTAGTACTAACCTAACCAAACAATAGATCCGTGAACATCTCAGCCGTCTTGGGATCACTAAACAATAACCCTGCAAAAAAAAAAAGTTAAAAAGAAAAAAGAAAAAGAAAACAATAAGAACAAAACACAAAACTAAAGCTAGAGATGATGGCTAACATATTAAAAAATACAAACAAAATAGATAAAACGAAAAATACAGAAGCATGACTCATAAGAATAAATATGTCTTACTCAAGAAACAAATATACTTCGTAAGAACATAGAAGACAGACTAAATTACCCCCATTATTTGGTCAACCTATAATCAGAAAAACAAACAATTTTATTAATAATTAACAAAGAACCACGAACTGTCAATGTAGTTAAAGATGAACTCACTTGTATGAGAATATTTTAGAGGTGTCCTTTGATGAATGAGAAAAAAGTAGCCAAGACATAATTTCTCAACGACGATGATATTTTATTAGGTAAACCTGATTTCAACCTAGGTTTAGGTTAAATCAAGAGCTTGGAAATCAAAAAGCTAAACGAACTAAACTAAAACGTGCGGCTAACAAAACTTACACAAAACGATACGCTGAATAAAGAGGAAGAATGCGTTCAACTTCAGTATCCTTCTCGGAAGATCAGCCTACAACAGAATAGCAACAACATCAAAAAAAAAGCAAGCAAACTAAAAGCAGGAATCAAAACGGCGTAGAACACAAAGAAAACAAAGAAACTATTGCATATGAGAAAGTTTAACCTAGGATTTTTCTAAAACGATATGGAAGAATGAATATAGAAGACGTATTTATATAGATTTTCAAGCTTAGGGTTTTTATTATTAGGGTTTTGTTTAGGTTACATAAAATAGTTAATATGGGCCGACGACATTTAAATCCACGTGTTTAGGGCTTATATTGCTAGGGTTTGGAGTTTATATTGTGTTAAATAGTTATATGGGCCGACGATATTGATGTTCTCGAGTTTAATTAAAAAATTTTGGTTAATATTTTCGAAATTATTTTTTTTTATTAAGGGGTAAGAGGTAATTAACCAGCTGAAACTCAATGAGAGGCCTCCATTGCTTATTTTGAACTTGCTTTTAATATATATGATTAGATTGTGATATTTGTCACGGTAAATTAAGATTTTGAAGTATATCACTGTAATCATATAAATTTTTTATTTTTAATCATTTATTTTAAAGAAAAAGGAAAAAAAAATATATGCTTATTTTTAAATAAAATTATCAAATAGAAAAATACAGTAAGTAAAAAAAATAGAGACTATGTTTCTGGAACTTTAACATTTATTTAAAGATATTATTTATCAGATTTATTAATAATATTAATTAATTTATAATTTCTTAATTACGAATATAAAACATAGATTGTAAAAAACTTAACAGAATTTTAGTTTAGAATCTAATACGGATCATTATTACGTGGATAATCAATTTTAAAGTCTAATTATTTTTTTCTGTGTATTACACAGATCCTAATCTAATGCTTATATGATGGATGGATATTCATCACATTGTTTTATTATATGGTGTAAAAATAACAATAAGAGAGTTTTTCTTGAAAACCTGAAATGGGTGATCGATAACTCGAACAATTTTTCATCAGGTCTTTTTTCACTGAAGAAAAGTGATACGAAACATACAAAAAAGTGTCTAACCACCCCCCCTCCCCCCCTCCCACAAAAAAAAAAAAACTTTAGAAATTAAAAAGTGACTTACTATGAAATTATCTGTAAATTCTTTTTTTTTTTTGTCAGAAGTTATCTCTAAATTATTTTCTCCTTTTTATAAATTTTATATCATCTATATTTACTTTAAATGGGTTTAGGGTTTTCTAATTTATTATAATGTGAAATAATAAAGACGAGAGCTTTTCTTGAGAGATTGGAACTCACCAACTTGTCCACAATCGGTTTATTGTTATTCTCTGCTTCTTTTTAGTTGATCATCCATCTTTTGGAATTTAAAATATTCATGATCGTTGTATTGTGATTCTGTGATTTGTTTTTTCTTTTTTTTTTTTTATCTTCTACGGAACACCGATTATAGATTGGATGAGGAATTTGAGTTTAGCCAGAGAACAACCATCGGTTCAAGAAGAGGCAACCCTTGGCCATGATAAACGGTTCATAAAAATCGCCGAAGAAGCAGCCGACTCGACCAGAGAAGATTCGAATGTTTCTGTGTATCTGCTGGATAAAGATCTTCTCGAATGCCCCACTTGCTGCGAGCCCCTCACTATTCCTATATATCAGGTTTACTTCTTAAAGTTTCTTATACAGCAAGTTACTATATACTGTCTTCTTTTTTTCTCTGTTGATGTATTTTTATGATAAAACTCTGGTTCTATCTTGCAGTGTATTAATGGTCATATAGCTTGTTCTCTTTGCTGCAAGAGAGTTAATAACATATGCCCCTCATGTAAGTTTCGGGTTGGGTACATTCGTTGCAGAGCCATGGAGAAAGTCATTGAAGAAGCTAGAGTGTCATGTCCAAATGCCAAATACGGTTGTAAAGAGAATGTCTCATACCAAAACCCCTCGAGCCATGACAAACAGTGTGGTTTTGCACCGTGTTCCTGCCCCGTGCGTGACTGCAACTATACAGGCTCACACAAGGATCTCAAGAACCACGTCAATGTTGAGCACAAGGAAGGCCTGGTTCTTTTCAAGTGGAACACTCCTTTATGCATTGAGCCTACCCTCCTCAGTGAGGAGATGACCATTCTTAGAGAAGAGAAAGATGGAGACCTGATTGTAATTCAAGGTTTTGAAGGAACGGACGGTATTTTTGTAACTCTAAGCTGCATTGCACCATTGGCAAATGAAAAGGTCATACTATCCTGTAGTCTGGAATTGAGAACCTTGAGAAGCACACTGAAGCAGGAAGTGACGGTGAAAACAATTCAGAAAACGAGCGAGGAAGAGCCTGAAGAAGATTTCGTGTTGGTTCCTTCCTATATGCGTAATGGGACGTACTTCTTGGAGATTAGCATCAGCCGTTGTTGGTTCACTTATTTTATAGCTTGATATATTTTAACAACAAATATCAAGTTCATAGTTTTTCTTTTATTCTACAACATATATTGTGCTTTACGTATTTTATTTCAAGAACTAGTTGACGTAGCTCAGCTGCTAGACAGTTTGATCCTCAAAAAGAGAACTGGAAATTTTTTTCATATTTACAACACAACACAGTCTCTAGCTGCTAAAGCTTCTTTATTTTTGTTTTTTTTTTTTTGTATTTACCAATAGGATTTAAAAATACACTATTTAGAGGCGGTAAGAGTCTCTAAATTAGTAGGAGACATTCATAGTCAAGAGTATAGGAAGAGCAAACATAGGCTTTTATTCAAATGTATGTCGTGTAAATTACCGATCTGGTATAGCTACAATCTCTAGCTTGCAGAGCAGTAGATCTAGGATATCATGTCCAAAATGCCAAATACGGACGACGTAAAGAGAATTCCATCTTATTCTTCTTCTCTTTTTTTTGTTTCTTTTGAATTGAGTGTAAAAGTTTATTCAAACCAAAAAAAACAATTTATTATTTACAATGAATGCTTCCTTGTGCTTAATGTACCTAATAGACTTCACACTGAAATAGAATTAAGAAATAAACTCAACTTGTCGATGCTTCTTTTTAACGTGAGAAGGAGACAAAGAGATTTAAGTTAGGCTTCCTTATAACCCTAGTCTCTATCAGAGACTGAGGTTAATTCTTTGAAGTTGTTTTCTCATTAATCAGTACTAAAGACCCTTATATAATCTGTGAATCAGTTTATAAGTAAATCTAGTGTAAGAACACACAACAATCCAAACGACTTAAGATCCAACGTGAAAAAGAAAACGCTAAACACCAAAATCTAGCTAGTTTTTTTTGGGTCAAAATGTTAAGATATATTACCAAAAAATGAGAAAGTTATACATGCTATTCTACATAATAGCGTAGCCCATTAGCTCCAAAGGAGAGAGTTTTTGGAACGAAAAATAATTACAATGAATCAGCAAAAACAGCCAAAGTAAAACTCAAGCAGAGAAGGAGTGGCAATAGAGCCCCGAGCCGGGAAGGATAGAAGACGATCCCGCATAGTGCGGTCGATGCGAGCTTTGATATCCGAAGAGGAGGAAGTCATGTTGAAGATACGGGCATTTCTTTCTCTCCAGAGATGATGCGCTGTTACTTGGAGAAGGAGCTTTGCAACAGCCTGGGAAGATCTTGTCGGTTGCATAGAGAGAAGGGGAATCCATTGCGAGATTGCTAGGAGGCCAAGCGGAGGGTTATGTCCGAGACGAGAAGCCAATGAGACCCAGATGGAGCTGGAGAAGGAGCACTGAAAAAACAAGTGATCATGGGATTCATCTCCATTTGTGCAAAGAACACAAGTTAAGGGAACCTGTAGACCCCAGCGATGCAACCTGTCTCTTGAGGGAAGGCGCTTTTGGAATGAAAGCCATAGGTGGAAAGAGAATCTCGGGACCGACTGTTTAAACCACACACATTTAGTCCACTCCAGATGAGGTGAGGTTACCCGTAGCTGATCCCAGGTTCCTTTTGAGGAAAACGAGCTAGAGAAGTTCCCAGATGGGGTTCTCCAGAGATACCGGCCACATCCAGCCGAGGGATGCAGAATAGCTCTAGAAGCAACATAAATGAGGACCTCTTCCGCTCTGTCAGATCTTGCAGCCCGGAAGTTCCAAAAGCCATCCTGAATTGCGTCGCAAACTCTAGCTTCATTATGAAGGCGAAGAGAGGAGGGGCCAGATTCACCAAGGAAAGAGATCAGAGGCCCAAATTCTGTCCAGTTGTCGAACCAGAAAGAAACAGTAGATCCATCGTTCATTTCGCACTTTAGGAAGCGTAAAACTATCGGCTTCAAACGGAGTAGACAACGAATGCTCCAAGAAAAACGATCACTATCCGGAGAAAGCCAAAAACTCTTACGGTCAGACACATTTTGTTGGAATAAGCTTGAAAGAAACTTGAAGTGCAAGTTTCCTAATCCTGATCAAAGTGTGTTTCTAGAAGGTTAAGATTAGAAAAAGAAATTTAGGAGTTATCTAAAAGGAAATTTAGGAGTTATCTAAAAAAGGAAATTTGTTTCTCTATTGGAATTAGGAGTTAGCTAATCCATTATCTATATAAGGAATTGCAGAGTTGTTGCAAATACTTATGAGTTGAGAGAGAGATTAAGAGAAGCTTTAGTTTTTGAGTGATTTTTCTAAAGCTAATAAAAGAAGTTGCTTTTATTCATACTTGATCTAATTCTCAATTCTATACATTTTTCTTTAACTACGCTACCCATAGAGAGCCCGATCTAGTGAAGAAATGCCAGATTAGTTTGAGATGAAAAACGACTTCAAAATCCTCTAGTCTCCGAATACCCAAACCGCCTTCGATCTTTGGTCTACACACATCAGCCCAGGCAACTCTTGCCCCCGAAGATGGAGAGGTTTTGTTTCTCCAAAGAAAAGCAGAGCACAATGAGTCCACTCGCTCATAAAACTTCTCGGGGAGGACAAAAACCTGGCTCCAAAAGTTGACCATCCCGTAAATGACAGAAGATATCAGCCTGATTCTTCCAGCGTAAGACAGAAATTTTGCAGTCTAAGAGTGGATTTTGGCAGTGATTCTTTCCAGAAAAGGTTGCCGAGCCGCAAATGAGAGTTTTTTAGGGGAGAGAGGAAGCCCAAGATACCTGGTGGGAAACTCGCCTTGAGCTATTCCGGAAATGGAGCTCAGCAAAGATGCTTCTGGCTCAAAGAACCCCGAGAAGAAAATTTCCGATTTTGATGCATTCAAGTCAAGCCCCGAGAAAGATTTAAACACCGCTAAATCCTCAAGCATACCGAGAATGGAGTGCCGAGACCCATTTATGAAGAGAAGCAGATCATCTGCAAAAAGCAGGTGAGTGAGGAGAGGATCTTCAAATTGGGGGTGCAGCTCAAATTTAGAAGATCGAGCAGCATCATCAAGCATTCTAGACAGAGCATCCATGACCAAAATGAAAAGGTAAGGTGAGAGGGAATCACCTTGCCTCAACCCTTTCTTTCCTTCAAAAAAACCAGTAAGCTCACCATTAATCAAAACTTAAAACCTTGTTGAGGAGATGCATTGACTAACCCAGGTTCTGAATAATGAAGGGAAACCCTGAGCTTCAAGAATTTTTAACACAAAATCCCAGCAAACAGAGTCAAAAGCCTTTCGCAGATCCACTTTGAGCATGCAAATTCTAGCTAGTTCTTAAAGGAAAAGCACTAAAACTCTTTCATTAGGTCTGGTCTGTCCTCCAAATTCAAGAAAGGTGATTCACAAACCCATAATATTGTGTCCTTGAGTTTTTCATTGACTAGAACTCGAGGAAGTATATGAAAGCTCTAAGATGACAATGGGATTGATTGCTTCGAGCTCAAGAAATTCATAAATAATTCATCAGAGCCACGTGCAGTTATCATGTTGTTACGTGAATCGCATAAAACATCAAAAGTGTTAGAAACTTGGCTTTTGCAAAAACATCAAAAGTCTCATTTAATATATACACTCACTTGAGAAAAAAGAAATGGTAAGCATTTTCTACTTGAGCATTATTTTGTCATGTCATTATATTTTAGCCGTTTAGGGCCTAAGGAAAAAAAAACTCTTGGGAAATCTCCACCCAATTTATGAATGCAGAGCTATTTCCGAGAAAGATTTAAATGATAATAAAAAAATGCATGTCTAGAGTCAGATAAAAAACGCTTGGGAAATTGGAGCCTTGAAGCGTTAGGGTTTAGCCATCTCTCTTACTTATATCTCCAAATATCGAGTCTCATGGAAACTTCAGAACTGACATGGCTGAAAAAGAAAGTAGCAATCCACCCCTTTCCCTGGCGCTGCTGGATCCAGATGTTCTGGAGTGTCCCATTTGTTGCTTGCCCCTGAAGATTCCTATATTTCAGGTTTGGTCCTTCTTCCTCATTCAAGAACTGTGATTCACAAATCTAAGTATATATATAGAAGTTACTAAAGTCGCTCTCTCTCTCTCTCATGGCATGTTGATACTCAATGAGGTTTTGTATCACTATAAAAGTAGAGAATGCTTACCACTTTTTTCTTTCTCAAGTGACCAGTTCAACTGTTTGTGTTTTCTGTCTGTGCAGTGTACTAATGGACATCTAGCTTGTTCGTCCTGCTGTGACACAATTCAGGGAATATGCCCATCCTGTAGAGGGGAAGGGTACAATCGTTGCAGAGCCATGGAGAGAGTCATTAAAGCCACTAGAGTGTCGTGTCCAAACGCCAAATACGGGTGCAAAGAGACTGTCTCCTATGAAAATCCCTCCATCCATGAGAACCAGTGTGTTTTTGCTCCATGTTCCTGCCCTGTTCGTGACTGCAACTATACTGGCTCAGACAAGGATCTCTACAACCACGTCCGTGCTAAACACAAGGAAGACCTGAATCTGATTGTGTGGGATACTCCTTCAAATGTTGTCTTGGGCTCGGATGAGAAGATTATCTTTTTTCAAGAAGAGAAAGATAGGGAACTGTTTGTAGTTCAAGCTTTTCGCAGATCGGATGGTTTGGCTGTAAGCGTGAGCTGCATTGCAACTTTGTCCCCGAGACTTAGCAGATTTTCTTGCTGTCTGAAGTTTGCAACCTGGAATATCACATTGAAGCAGGCATTTATGCTAAGGGAAATTCAGAAAGTGAGTGAAGTGCCCGAATACGTTTTCATGTTAGTTCCCTCACATTTGTTGCCTAGTGACGAGAACGTTACTATGAGCATTTGTTTCAGCCGCGGCCTGGGATGTATTGATCGTGTCTGAGTACTAATGTGCTCATTGTTTTGTGATCTTATAACGTGTGCATTAAGGAATTTGATTTCAAGAAGTAATTACCATCTTTACAAGACAGATCAATTTACATGCCCTGAAGGCAAATTACTGAACCTTAAGAGCTAGGACACCGAACACGAGAACAAATTCCCTTCTTCGTTCACAAGAACATATCAAAAGCATAGACACAGGAAAATACATTGTTGACCTAGTGAGTAGTGACCTCTGTTTCTGCTCTATCTGCTGCTACTTCCGCTACCAGTGCCACCACTCAGACTTAGACTTTCGGAAAGACGAGAATTCTGTCCCAAAACGATATTGTGTATACGTGGAGATAAAGAGATTTAATCCGATGATGCAAGAAATAAGATTCTGATTCTCTGCAAGAAATTTGTTTTTTTTTGTAACACTTATTCGTTTTCTTTCCCTAAGAATTCAATAAAGCTTAGACATTCTTCTGTGTAGAAATGGTGAATGGAAACAAAGGAAACCTTGGTGATGAAACTAAAAGTTTGTTGATTAATTTGTAGAAGCATCTAGAATGTCATGTCCCAATTGTAAATATGAGTGTAAATAGAATAAATACCTTGTACAACGAGAAGCAATTTGATTGAAAGAAACAATTAGTAAGCTAGTGTGCTCCTTATAAAAGATAACTGAACATTTACATATTTACAACAAATTATCTATTTACGTGCCTTGACGACAAATCGCTAAACTCTTAAAGCTAAGACACTATTTGGTTCACAAGACTTACTTTTAATAGGAACAAACACTTGGAGATACATATACATACATAATACATACATAGATTATCTCCTTCTCGTACTTCACTTCATACCTTTCTAAGTTTCTTGAGTTCCAAAAACGTTTCTCTATTTTACCTTTGAATAAGAACCAAAACAGAGAGAACAAGAGAAGATTATGCTGGCCTAGCCTGCAATTTCCAGAAGAAGTAAAAAGAAGAGAGAAGTAAAGTGGAAGCCTAGCGGCAAAGAGACAAAAAATATTAAACTTTGTATAAAATTCTTTTGATGAGACAATCCTTATATATGCATAAGAGGAGTAGCCTCCAAGTACATCTTTTACATGTATTTGACTAATCTTGAAAAAGGTAATATTCTATATTTTTATATTTACCATTATAGTAGACTAGTAGACCTTTGCCTCAGTCAATTCCATTAAAAAATGCTGTGGGCTTAGTTGGGAGGTTGTAAGGAATACTAGTTGAATTAGTTCTCAACTCTCCCCTTTTTAAGTGCTTCCATAGACAAAAACACAGCATATAAATAAAACCTCTCTGGTCTACAAGTTCCAAATCTTTAAAACTTTCAAGTGGATGATCGGTAACTCCAACATTGTTCATGTCAGAACTCTCAGAGAAACTGCGTCTCTTGAAAATGCAGAGTATGTATCTTGATTTTGATGAACATAATCCTGATTTTTCATGTTCATCTCTTTCTTGTTATTTTATGTTCCCGTTTTTTTTTTGACAACCAATCTTGTCGTTTTTGATGAAAAAAGAGCGTAGATCAGTGTTGAATAGTCTCTTGAGGTCCAAGCTAACATCAGCCCCGGAAGTGGCAACGGTTTCCCTCCATTCTGAAAATGCAAAAAAATCCGTCAAAGAAGAATCTGTTGAGGACTCGACCAGAGATCATCATGTTTCCGTGACGCTTCTGGATCAAGATGTTCTTGAATGCCCCATTTGCTGCGAACCCTTGAAGATTCCTATATTTCAGGTTTGGTATTTCTTTCTGGCTGAAGCATATTATACTCACAATTATTGTATTACATAATCCGTTGAGTCGCTAACAACTAGTGTGGTTTTGTCTTGCAGTGTGATAATGGTCATCTAGCTTGTTCTTTGTGCTGCAACAAAGTTAAGAACATATGCCCTTCCTGTACATTACCGATTGGGTACAGTCGTTGCAGAGCCATGGAGAAAGTTATAGAAGCAACTAGAGTGTCATGCCCACACGCCAAATACGGATGTAAAGAGAATATCTCATACGGAAACCAATCAAGCCATGAGAAGCTCTGTGTTTTCACCCCTTGTTCCTGCCCCATGAGTGACTGCAACTATACCGGCTCATACAATGATCTCATGAACCACGTCGATGTTGAACACAAGGAAGACCTGCTTCTTTTTTCATGGGACACTCCTTTAAAAATTAAGTTCAACCTCGGTGAGAAGCTTACAATTCTTAAAGAAAAGAATCATGGGAAACTGATTGTGGTTCAAGGTTCTAATGGATCGCAGGGTATGATTGTACGTGTGAGCTGCTTTGCACCTTCGGTACCTGAAAGTGAAAGGCTCAGTTTGTTTTGCAGTCTGAAATTGAAAAGCTTAAATTACAGATTGAAACATGGATTGAAGGTGACCAATATTCAGAAAATGAGTGATGAACAACCTGAATACGGTTTCATGTTGGTTCCTTCCTATATGCTGGGAAGAACATACATGGACATTTGCATCAGCCATAGACGTGCCGAAGCTTTTTACTAGGTAATGTCCAGTGCCATGTTTGTGATTCAACTTTAACTGAATGTCAAATAAAATGTCATTTTATTGTTGGAGATTGTTAACATATTCGTTAAGATTGTTATCTAATATGAATGATTGGGTATAGTTTGAGTAATAGAAACTAGTCAATGAAGTCGTTTTCACATGTTAAGATAAAAAGTCATTGGCTACTTTTGATTACAAGAACCAATTAGTGTACCTGAAGACACTGTGAACCTCGAAAAGATAAACTGAACATTCACATATTTACTACAAACTATCTATTTACATGCCCTGAAGGCATATATCTAAACTCTTAAAGATAAAACCCCTAATCCATCTTTGCTATTTGGTTCACAAGACTTACTTGAAAAAGCAAAAACACTTGGAGATACATATACATACATGATGATATTAGTGGCTAGCTCGGCTTCAACTCTCACTACCACTGTTTCTGCTTTTGCTGCTGGTGCTACTGCTACTTCCACTACCACTACTCTCAGCTCTGCTTTCACTGCTCTCGCTGCTTGAACTTGAACTCTTCCCCTCCTCCTCTCTCGCTTCTGCATTTACTTGAGCTCTAAGAGCTTCTGCCGCGCTAAGACCTTTATATGATTCATCATCATTGATGTCTACGTCAGCAATCTCCTCATCTTCCATTTCAGCAGGATGCGGAAGGTTAATGTCAATGTCAAGGCCACCAGTTCGAAACTCCTTTGCCAATGTAGTTTCTTTTCTTGCTATGTCTTGGCCATCATTGTCATTTTCATCATCATCATCATCGTCGATGTTGACATCCTCCTCGGATTCATGTGGATCCTCTTCCTTTTCATGATCTGTGACAGGTACACACAAAATGTAATTAACTACACTAAAAACACCACACATACGTACATTCATACACAGTAATGTAAATGAAACATGCCAAAGTAGAAATCTGTATACCTAAGCTAACAGGATTGTTGATGTCAATCTGTGCAAACTTAACCTGCAACATTGAAGAAGGAAAGACAAACACAAAAGCTTGGTATTATTTCTTGAAAACCGATTCGTTAACAAGAGATAAGACTTCTCTTATACCTTTGCTTCTCTACAAACAGGTTGTGAATACGATTCTGCTATCGGAGATTCGCTGGGAAAACGTCGGTATCTTAAACGTTTAACTGCTCGGTGAAGCTTCTCTAATCGAAATGTTTCACCATCAAAGAAGAGAATTGCGTCTTTGTCATTGTTATCTTCACTAACACCATCAAAGCTAACTTTTGGTTTACCAATTTGATTGTTCTGAAACTCCAACGTAACTTTATTATCATTGCTCTTGTGGAACGATCCTGGTTTGGTTCTATCAATTGATGCCGGTTTAAACTCATCTTCAAAATTTCAACACGAGAACATAAACACAAAATTTCCAGAAATCGCTCCAATTTTTTGGAAACAAACAAAAATTTCGACAAATTTAAACCATTTTTTACTTACATCGGAAACTGCAGAATCTGGGAGAATTATGTGAGTGACCATCATTGAGTAGTGATGGCCCTAAGGTGATATTGTACCAGCGATTTGGCTCTGGTGCGATGCTTGGCTCTTCATTGTGATCGTTCATTTCTTCATGAAATTTGAAAATCGAAATCGAGAAAAGAAAGAAAAGATCCTGGATTTTGTTGAAATTGAGAAAACCCCCAAATTCTAGGGTTCATGTTAGATTCAATTCGTTTCGAAGTCGATGAAACTGTACCTTCTCCACCTCAATGGGCTGAGAGAATATCTGCTCGGCACGGCCCATCTGAGCTCAGTCAGCTATGGTCAAGACCCTCTGAATCATTAAGAGGGTTATGCTTAGCAGATTTTATTTTTGGGTTTATTATTTCGGTTCAGTTTTGGAATCGGTTCGGTGTGATTTTCTTGCCCATCCTTTAACCAACTCGACCTAAAAACTTGATTGTATTCAATTTTTTTTCTTCTTCTTCAGAATCGTAGATCTTATTCGATCCAGAAATGGCGAGATTCTCAGTTTGTGGAGGAGACGACGGAGAAGGATCAAGCAACAATCAATCTCGGAAACGACAACGACTTCCATCCATCGATGAAGATGAAGAAGACTCCGAGGACTCTGACGCCGGAAGTTCCGGTGAAGAAGACGAAGACGAAGACGACATTTTTGTTCCAGGAAGGAGAATGGAGTCGGAGGATCGCGTATCCACGAGCGATGATAGCGACCTTGAAGTGGTGATAGAAGAGAGACGATTTGGGAAATCCGTAAACAGCCAGAGTTCTTCGAGCAGAGATTCTCCTCTTTCCGTAATGCTTTTGGATCCAGATGTTCTCGATTGCCCCATTTGCTGCGAGCCTCTGAAGATTCCAATCTTCCAGGTTCGCTTCCTTCTCTCTGATTGATGAATTTTGATTTCAGAAACCATTTTTAGGTTTAGAGTACTCACTAGGAAGATGATGAAGGAACAATAGATGTTAGATGAGCCATCACAGATTAACGATTTTAGGTGGAAATGGGAATTTATCGATTCTTTCTGCTGCAATATGGAATTTTGTGTAGCTCGAGGTTAAGCCCTTTTCGTTGTATGTTAAGATATCATTTTCCTTGAAGAACAATTTCGGTTTTTGCTCGAATAGGAAACGAAAGATTTGATTGCAGACAAAGAAAAATGCTGAATAACTTACGGTTCTAATCTTCTAGATCATTTTCATACGCCATAGAGTTTCACTGATGCTTCTACTTTCCTAGTGTTCTTATTTCTGCTGATATTAGTGCACAAGAAGTTTATCGTCGATGAAAATTACCAGCAATGTAACTAGAAGTGTGATACATCAGCTATTTATAATAACTCTGTGGTTCTGTGTTCAGTGTGATAATGGTCATCTAGCTTGTTCAATGTGCTGCAACAAAGTTAAGAACATATGCCCTTCCTGTACATTACCGATTGGGTACAGTCGTTGCAGAGCCATGGAGAAAGTTATAGAAGCAACTAGAGTGTCATGTCTAAACGCCAAATACGGATGTAAAGAGAATATCTCATACGGAAACCAGTCAAGCCATGAGAAGCTCTGTGTTTTCACCCCTTGTTCCTGCCCAATACTTGACTGCAACTACACTGGCTACTACAAGGATCTCAACAACCACGTCCGTGCTAAACACAAAAACGACCTGATTCCATTTGTGTGGGACGTTTCTAAAGGTATTAGCTTGGACCTCGACAAGAAGACCACGGTTCTTCAGGAAGAAAACGATGGGGAAGTGATCGTAGTTCAAGTTTTCAAGGGTTTGCACGCCGTGTACGTTACTGTGAGCTGTCTTGCACCTTTGGTACCGGGAGTGAGGAAGCTCTCGTGCTCTCTGGTGAATTTAACCGTAGATAGCTCGTTGAGGCAGGGATTCATGGTGAAGAACATTCAGAAAGTGAGGAATGAGCAGCCAGAAGATGGTTTCATGGTGATTCCTTCGTATATGTTGTCTGGTAATTTGCTGATTTCGATTGGCCGTGGCCGGACCTTGTTAATGCCTGAGTTAATAGATAGAATTGAAGTGTGATCAGTCGTTTTGTTCTCATGCACATTTTTAGGTGTATGTGATTGTAGTTTGTGAATCTAAACTTTGTGCATAAAGGTTCTTTGACAATTATGAATCGATGTCTTAGAAGAATCATTATTTATAGAAGATAAGATTTGGCCAGTAATTGTATTTGTGAGATCAATGTTAGATAGGTTCATATCGATTCAGAAGTGAATTCAATTTGGGGGTTGTAGCTATCAAACCGGTTTAACCGGGTTATAGATACCAATTTGAACCTGCACCTTTAAGGCTTTAACGACAAATGATGCCAATAATCGGTTATGGATTAGAATGGACTATCTGGTTTGGTTTCGACTCAGATTTACGGTTTAAGATTTTAATGATGCAAAGAAGATTATCTTTCATTCAGTGTAACTGATTACTTATAGTTTGATTTGATGGAATTTTGGTTTGGATCGATTTGGGATTCAGTTAGATTTTAGTTTTAAAAAACTTTAGCAAACGATGCATTCCACACAAACTTTGTTCTTTTGGACTTATCACACAAGCAAGTACAAGGATTGTTTAAACTACACAATTTTTTGAAATTCATCCTTTCTTTAGAGATCCATCTAAGCTAACCAAACGAATTAAGGCCAAAGGGGAAAACAAAAAAAAAAAAACTCTTGGGAAATCTAGCTTTACCCAATTTATGCAGAGCTCTTTCCGAGAAAGAGTTAACTAATGAATTCATTACAAAATACAAATGCATGCATGTCTAGATTCAAGATAAATAAAACTCTTGGGAAATCGGAGCATTAAAGCGTTAAGGTTTTAACCAGTTCTCTCACTTATATATATCTCTATTGAATCTCATGAAATTTTCAATATTCATACATATCCATAGATATGGCTGAGCAGATTAACTTATCTTCTAGATCCTCGAGTGATGAAAACGACGAAACGAACTGCTCGGCGATGCTCCTTGATCTTGAAGCTCTTAATTGTCCTATTTGCTTTGACGCTCTCACTAGTTCTATCTTCCAGGTTTTAATTCTTCTCTGTTTCTACATATTTCTAACGTTTTAGAATTTATGGAATGTTTTCAAAATTCGGACATTGCGTTGTTGATTCAAAGTAATTAGGATTGACCAGTTTTTGGAAAATGGGGTTTTTGCGTTGTTCAGTGTCACTAGAGAAGTAAGTAGTTTTTTATTTATTTAATTCTCTTCCCATTCTGGTATTTATTATACATGTTTTTACATTTCAGTGTGACAATGGACATATAGCTTGCTCTACATGCTGTGACAAACTAATGAACAAATGCCCTTCTTGTGATTCTCCTGTTGGTCAAATTCGTTGCCGTGCGATGGAGAGAGTTATCAGTGCAATCATTGTCCCATGCCCAAACGCGAAGCTCGGTTGCACCAAGAGTTTCTCTTATGGGACAGAATTAACTCATGAGAAAGAATGTGCTTTCTCTCGATGCTACTGCCCTGCAGAGAATTGTGATTACACTGGCTCTTACAAGGATATATACTCTCACTTTGATGTTCACAAGGGCGAAGCAAGATACAACTACCAGTTTCTTTTCGACGAATATTCTATAATAAACTTTGAATTGACTGAATTTACTTCAGTTGTTTTGAAGGGACATGAGGCTGGTATATTGTTTGTCGTGCAGTGTTTCAGTGAGCCACATGGTGTTTGTGTGACTGTGAGTTGTATAGCTCCTTCAGTTCTAGAAGTTGGTGAGTTCTCTTGTAATATCTATACCGCTTTGAAACCATATACTATAGTTATGTTCCCAGAGGTCACGAGAGTTCGGAAACTGAGGTTGGAAAACCCTGAAAAGGATTACATGTTGGTTCCTTCCTATTTCTTGCGTGAACGTGAAAAGTTGAAGTTGGGGATCTGTGTCAGCAAGTTGAACCAAGAGTAATAAGACTATGAGGAAGATAAAACAGTTTTTTTTTCCTTTTCTTTTTTGTTCTTTTTTTTTGGTTTCTCAGCAAAATTTTATCTATCTTATCAGAGAACTGGAATCTTATCAATCAGTTTTCGTTTTAATTAATTTCCTTATCATTGCGTTACTAGAATAAATGTTCGTTCTGAATAATTGTACAAACCTTTGATAGAAAGTCGGTTAGTAAAGAATTTGGAATGAACGAAATATCTTGTTTGCATCTTGATATGACTCACTCTGTTAGTTGGGGACAAATTTGTGCCATCTCACTACGACTTCAGTCATAGTTGGCCATCTGTGGATATCTTAAGTGGCAAGATAACCCGGATTTTCCTAGGTCTCAAATATTAGTGTGTGTTTCTGCTGTAGAAATTTTGGTTGCAATGCCACTAATCAGAAAATTTCACGGTTTTTGTAATGAAATTTTCTTAATTTTTTTTTTTTTTAAAAAAACTCATGGCTAGCTTAGTTTCCCCACACAACAAAAAAACAAATCCACGCAATTACTTAAAATTACCAGACTCGTTTTTCGTTTCACTAAATTAGGAAAGTGGGGAATGAACAGCCCCAAGATGGTTTCACGGCCATTCCTAATTCCTATATGTTGTCTGGTAGTTTGCTGATTTCGATTGGCCTTTGTTCTCTCCTGAATTATTTGACAGAATTGAAGTTTGAGTCGTTTTGTTCTCATGCACAGTTTTTAGGTGTATATGATTTAGTTTGTGAATCTAACCTTTGAGGCTTTGAGCATGAAGGTTTTCTGACAATTATGAATAGATGTCTAAGGAAGGAATCGGCACTATTCATTGGAGTTGTGGCCAATGATAATATTTGTGAGATCAACGTATATCGAATACAAAAGTAAATTCAATTTGAACCTAGCTATCAAACCGGACTAACCGTGTTTAAAATACCAATTTGAACCTGAACCTGCACCTTTAAAGGCGAATGATGCAATAGTCGGTCTTAGATTGGAATGGACAATCTGGTTTAGCTTCGTAAGGTGGACAACCAAGTAAAGACTACATCTTTTATTCACTTTAATTATATTTTGGTTTGGTTCGATTTGGATCCAGCTATTATATGTACTACAAAATCTTTTCCAAACGAGTCATTCCACACAAACTTTGTTCTTTAGGAATTTGGACTTACCAACACAAAACTAGCAAGTCATCCTATTTTCTTGGATTCGCTAAATCAGAAACAAACAAAATGAATTTTATTCTGAGATCTTTTTTTTTTTTTTGTTAAAGTGAGAGATCTGTTAAATCTGAAACTAACATAAAAGAACCGTATTTTCTTCCCAAACAATTTCTTATGGTGGGTTTAGGAATTTAGTATTAGGCTTGTTAATTTAACCATGGATTTACTAAAAGAGGTTTTCGACGCTGAATTTAACCTTCCTGTTTTATTAGTAACAGTTTAGGTAATTTTCAGCGGATGAAATCTAAAGTTTATGTGAAATGAATACCATTCCGGAAAATTTATGTATGGTATATACGGATGTTCAGCAAAAAAAGAAAAGTATACTATAATATAATTGTTCGTTGTATAAATTTCTCAATTTCTATTTATTTAGTTTTTTTGGGTTCAATTACATTATATAATTCTGATTCGATTGAGGTCTGAATATTAAAGTAATCAAACCAGTCAAGTGATAAACTGAAGTCTTTTGGTTAAGTTCAGTTTTAAATTTTGATTACAGTTCCTTTTTTACCTAGTTAATTATAGTCCTTAGGCCCAATGAAAAAAAAAAAGGAAAAAACTCTTCGGAATCCTCCACCCAATTTATTAAGAGAGAGTTTCAGATTTAACCCATATTTCAAAGTCAAACACAAAACTAACTTTTTTTTTTCTCTCTCCAACTTTTGCCATTTTCTCACAATTTTATCTTTCTCATTTAAACTATTAACGAAAATGTCATTATACATCTAATAATTCGATTTTTCTTTAATTGGCTAAAGTCTTCTTGGACCCTCTAAAGACTTTTTAATTACGAGAATGTCATCGTCTTCAATACCTTCAACCACCATGAACAACCATGAAAATGGAATAAATGCTTATCAACCAGTTTTAAAACTGTAATAAAACAAATATCTAAGCTCATTCACTCATAACATTGCTCATTCTATCATAATTTCTTCTCCAAAACATCTGGGCAAAGTTACAATGCTTCACACCATGCATTTTCGGTGAATTCTGGTTTACTCGACACCTGGATTGTTTAATTTCGGTGAAATCCTAAGTTCTGGGTGGATAAGAGAAACTTAGGGGAGCTCAATTTTGTTAAAGGTAATCCTCACACTTCAATTTCTCCACATTTCAGTTTTTATATCGCGAAAGTAGACTTCTCGTGAACTATACTGAAGTCTATGAGTCAACATAAGGTTATTTTTGCAATTGACTTTTAAAAAATAAACTTCATTAAACCTCACGAGAAGTCTACTCGATATCCTTTGAAAACAAAAAAAAGCATAGTAGACTTCATTTGAAGGCTTAAGAAGTCTACGAAAAAAAGGTTATTTTTGTAGTTGACCGTATTTTGACTTTTGGATTTAGACTTCATTATGAAGTCTACTGGTTTCGTCTGCATACGAAGTCTACTTTCAAGTTACTTTTGTAGTTTGACCAAAAACGTATATGTCATTTTTGTGTTTGACTTCTGTTTTTCAAAAATTAAAAAATTTAAAAAAATTCCAAAAAGCTTCAGTAGACTTCACAAAGAAGTCTACAAACTGTAGACTTCTCTGTGAAGTCTACTTATTGTGTTCGGTCAAACTTAAAAGGAATATTTTTTTGAGTAGACTTCATTGTGAAGTCTACTAAAAAAATTCAATTGCAAAAATAACCTGTTTTGTTCCGTAGACTTCTAATTAAAAAGTAGACTTCAAAAGTAGACTGTCAGAGAAGTCTACTCTTACATGAAGTCTACAATAGAAGTCTACTATGTTAGTCAATGCATTGGTCAATTGCTAAAGTAACCTTTTTTGCCTGAAGTCTACTCCTGAAGCCTACTGAAAGAAAAGTCAACAGATTGGTCAATTGCAAAATGACCTTTTTTTTAGTAGACTTCATTTGTAGACTTATCAATGAAAAAGTAGACTTCTCCTCCAGTCTACATTTGAAGTCTAATGTAGAAGCCTATTTTAAGCAAATGTATAAACTATTTTTCAAATTTTTTGGTTCAGAATTGCTTCTTAGTAAGTGATTGAACTACCCAGTGAATTTTATCTCATTTCATTGGATATTTATTGCTGAATCAGAAGTTTCGATTTTTAAGGTACTTAGCTTATCAAAGTAGACTTCGTCGTGAAGTCTACATTCTAAATCTGCAATAGAAGTCTACGTTTTGACGTTTTTGTAAAAACGCGTTTTAAGCAAATTTATAAATTATTTTTCAATTGTTTTTGTTTATAATTGTTTTTTAGTTAGTGATTGAACTACCTAGTGATTTTTATTCAGTTTCATTGAATATTTATTGTTGAATCAAAAGTTTCGATTTTTAAGGTACTAAGCTTATCAAAGTAGACTTCGTCGTGAAGTCTACTTTGATACAAAAAGTCTCTATGCAGTGTTTGCTAATACGGTTTATATGGTTATTTTTTCAGAGAATGGCTCAAATTCCAGTTGTGTACGGTGAGTGGAAGTTTAAGGAGAATTCATGGCATTTTGTTGTTGACATGGGCAAAGGTGGAAGAATGTGGTTTTTGAACGATGGTTGCACCTTTGGGCAGCTTACTGAAATGGCGCGAGATGATTATAATTTGGGCAAGAAGACTGGGATCATCGAGTTAACCTACGCACTACCAGTCTCAATGTTGCAAAATATGGCTCCAGATACACCTCCAATGCATGTCACCAATGATAGACAAGTTTCAAGCTTGATTGCGTTAAGCAGAGTACATTTGTTACGCCTTTGTGTGTCCTGTCGAGTGGAGATGGATACTGAGGAGAACCAGGAACGATCAGATGAAGAGTTTGGTGAAGATGTTGAGGAAAATTCAGAACATTCAACCGATGATGAGGCAGACAGTTCTGATGTGAACGACGATGGAGAAGATGTCGACGATGCAGCTTACTCTGACGGAGAAGATTACAGTGTCTACGGAAAAGTGAAAGATGAAGATGATGATGAAGATGAAGTCTGTATTGAAAAGGTCAGAACCCGATATGGTGAAACAGGAAGCACACCCATGTCATGGTCTGATAATATATATGTTGGGGCAAGTTTCCTTACAAAAGAGAAGCTGTTATCAGAGGTTAGACTGACTGCCATAATGTTAAAATTTGCTTTTAAAACACAGAAGTCTACCAAGAACCTGTTTGTGGCTAAATGTCGAGTGGAAGGATGTGCATGGATGGTTAGAGCGAGCGTGAAGAATGAGGCATCCACTTTTTGGGTGACAAAATATGTGAAAGACCACACATGTTCAATAGCCCATCGAATGGCTCACCGTGGGAAGTCTACTCCTAAGTATATTGACCAGCTTTTTATAAGCTATTTCGGCATAATTGATGGACTTACACCAGAACATGTCAGGGTTTCAATGAAGCATATGTTTAGCATCAGGATGGATTACACTACCTCTTACAGATCTTTGATATATGCCCAACAATTGGTCAGAGGAACAGCTGAAGATGGATATGCGAGTCTACCAGCTTACCTACATTCAGTGAACAAAGCCAATCCGGGAGCTGTATCAGTTCTTCATGTAGATTCGAATAACAAATTCAAATATCTATTTCTCGCATTTGGAGCATCGATTGGTGGTTTTCAGTACATGAGAAGAGTTATTGTGGTTGATGGCTGTCATCTAACAGGGAAATACGAGGGTACTTTGTTGGTTGCCACCGCACAAGATGGAAACTTTCAGATTTTTCCTTTGGCCTTTGGAATTGTTGATGGTGAAGATGATGCTTCATGGGAATGGTTTTTTTCTAAACTGCGTGAATGTGTCTCAGATGGTTATCCTTTGGTGATAGTTTCTGACAGACATATTTCTATTAAGAAAGCTTGTGAAACTATTTTCCCATGGGCAAAACGAGGGATCTGCTACTACCATCTACAACATAACATAGTAACAAAGTTTAGGGGGAAGCAGCTGTTGTACTTGGTTAAACGTGTGGCTTATGCTTACAACCTCTATGACTACAACCGGTACATGGCGGAGCTGAGACAGATCAAGACTGACCTTGCTGACTATTTGGAAGAAGCCGATGTCTCTCTTTGGTCCCAAGTTCATTTTGTTGGAGACAGATACAATATTAAGACTAGCAATGTTGCAGAGTCTATAAATGCTGCACTTAAGAAGGCCCGTGGCTATCCCATTTCATTCCTCTTGGATTTCATCCGAGAGAAGCTCGGTCGGTGGTTTTTAAAACGCAGAGAGGATGCTTTGAGTCTCACAACACATAATACTCGGGGAGTGGAGTATTTGCTGGCGATTCGTGGACATTATGCAGATGCAATGGAGGTGGACCGAATTGACACTTGGAGATACTATGTGAAAGGAGGAACCAGGAATTGTATTGTTGATTTGGAACATGGAATGTGTGAATGTGGTGTGTTTTACATCGAGAAGATCCCATGTTCACATGCTATTGCAGCTGCCTTAGCCGGTGGGATATCTGTGGATTCTCTTGTATGTCCGACTTACTCAAAAAACTACTTGTTTGCAGCATACTCTGCCAACATATATCCCCAAATCTCAGAGGTCCAAGGAGGCCCAACTTCAATATGTCTGCCACCAGACATTCGCCGTGCACCAGGCAGACGGAAGAAGTCTCGGTGGCAATCATGGCTAGAAATTGCTAGGAGGAAAAGCAAGAAGCCAAGGAAGCTGCACAAAGTATACAGCTGCTCCCAATGCAAACAACCTGGTCATACCCTACCGAATTGTGTAAGTTGAGCTAAACTCGAATAACTATGTTGCAATTTTTATTTAATATACTTAGCCGTCGAAGATTCACCAGAAAAATAACAAGAAGGCTCCGGAATAGGAAGACAAAGCATCTATTGTTCTCAAAGAAGTCATCTATTGGTGAAGTCTACTTTCGAAGTCTACTATGTGTGTGATATTTTGGTACAACGGTTATGTTTGAAACGACTTCATATATGTAACTGCTCTAACGACTTTAACGGTGCGTATAACCGTTGTACCTGTTTGTGTTCTGTATTTCTGCTTATAAATTCTTGGGTTTAGACGAATTATAGGCTCATTCCAGACCCATTTGAAGATGTCGAACCCCTTAAACTTTAACTCTATCCCTTCCGACATTCTGTGGGATATCCTCTTAAAAATCACTTCTCGTTCCTACGGTGGGCTCTGTAGAGCAAGGGTCTCCTCCAAACATCTAAATGAGATTTCTAATGAAGAGGGTTTTTTAAGAGCCGTTGATCTAATAACTTTGACGATTCCATGGGTCTGGGATCAACATGGGAGGGTTGACGCTTTCTTTCGGCGCTGTTTGGAGTGTGGAAATCCTACAGCGCAATACCTACGAGCCGTTTCTCTAATCTTCTATGAAGATAGCATCCAAGAAGGATTTAACTTAATAAAGGTGTCATCAAATGGAGGATGTCTCGTGGCAACTTACTCCATGGTTATGTTCGCTTTAACCATGGATGGTAGCCATGATGTATTTAACCACATTCGTGGTATAGTTCTGGCAGAGGCAACGAAGATGCGGAAGACTATGCAGCACATAAACAGGTGTCCGACCACATATAAGAAGCCTGACGCGTTTCACGAACCGGTCTTCCATGTTTTTGATAAGGCACAATCAAGGAGTTGTGCTTGTATGAATCTGCCAAACCAGCACTGGATGGATGATGAACGCCTCGTGGACTCATATGGTGACAAACTCTGCAGTCCTTGCTTCTGGAAGTTAGAATGTGCCTTATTCTGGAAAACATTTCCTGGATTTGTAAATGAATGGCCGCAGTGAAATTAGTTGACTCCATGTTTTATGTTTTTTGGGTTTACATATATGTTTACATGACTATGGTAGACTTCGTTTGTAGACTTATAATTCTTATTTTAATAAAACTTTTTCCTTGTACACTTTTTTCCGTCTACAGTTTCTGGTATACTTGAAAATTACAGAACTTAATCAGTTGTAAGGGTGAAATCGAAATTAGAAATACTAACATGTTAATAGACTTAGTAGACTTCAGTACGGATACAATTACAACTTAGTAGACTTCAGTCAAAGACTTCAGTCGTAGACTTCAGTTTAAGTACAATATCCTAAACGAAAATACAACATATTTGGCAAGTTAATTATGAGATAGGTGGCCAAAAAACTTCCACACCTATCATCTACCAATTGCTAAAATGACCTCCAATCACATTGAAGGTCATTTATGCAAGTAGCACAAAAGTTGCCATAAAAATCAAAGTTAGTTTTAAGAACGGGAACACTAAGCTTGCCTATCATAAACATCCAGCCCGGTTGCATCTAGCTTATCATGGCCCTTACATCCTGTTTCGTCATAGATCTCTGCAGCCATTTTCTCCCTGATTTTTCGCATGTTTTTATCGCAGAGTTCCGGAGGAAATGGCAAATCCAATGCATGACACTCGATGTACTTCAGGCAGTACACTCTGCAATCACCACTCTGAATGTTTTGAGGTATCTCCGTACCTGGTACTCGCGAATGGGTGAACGGCATGTAGGAGAATCTCCACTTGTCATCGTCAGGTGCACAGGTCTGAAGAAGGTAGGGTATCATAACCGCAAGAGGCTCCACAGCTTCAGCAATTTATTCGTCAGATGCATGTCTGGTTCGCGCATGGCTATCCCAAACCGTGATATGCTTGGTCACAAATGAGACCCATATTGCTACCCAATGGTCCTCCCTAATGTTCAACATGGAGTACAACGAGTCCACATCATATGCCCACGTCTTCTTAGTCTGGCAGTAGATAGGTAATTCGCCAGTGTAGTACGGATATGCTCCAGGCGGCAGAAGTTTGCCAGACCCATCTGCATTCGGCTCGGATTTTTTGAAGTCTTCGTAGTCACGCCTCCAAACAGTAGCAAACATGGAGTTCAGGAAGCAAATCCGGTCGGATACAAACCACTCCGGATGCTTGGATAATCGCAGCCTGAGTAGGTTGATGTAAGCTTCCATGTGCTGCACATTGGGGAAAATAAGAAATGAGTGAAGTCTGCAAACGAAGTCTATTATAGAAGTCTACGAAAGACGTCTACGGAAGAAGTCTACGGAAGAAGTCTAACCACGAAGTCTACTATGAGAAAGTAAAACACTAACCGTATCAGCTAGCCATATCGTCGGTGTCCGGAGAATGTAATACCAATCGATCGAAGCGTTTCTTGGGCGTTTTGGCCAGGCACTGTACAAGTGAAAGAGTTAGAAAGGAAATAATACTATGAGGAAGTCTACTTACATACGTATAGAAGTCTACTTACGGGTTTGATTTGATAAAGTTCATTAGAGTGGTATGCTTCGCCCTGACACCGGTTTGATCAAAAGGATCATATCCACGGGCACGGCTGGAGTGAGATGCCGACGATGGAATGATGGCCTTTGCGGTGCTGTTTCCTAAGAAGGGACTCTTCTGTGTCGCAGCCAGCTGGCGGTGTCGGGCACTCGTTGCTCGGGCAACTAGCTGAGCCGCTTCTGGCTTTGGCATTTTTGGCAAGTGCAACCGCGTCGAAGTCTACATCACACGTCTTCGGGTCAATTTCACAAATACTAGGCTCTGGGGCCTCTTCTTCATTCACGGCAGCCTTCTTTCCTTTTGCATCCCCGGGGGCGTTAACACTCTCACATGCACCAACGTTGACATTAGCTTTCATCGGAGCATCATCTTTCTCTGAATTACTCTGCAGTTTATTGTCAGAAACATGCATGAATATACAAATGAGTACACCAATGCTATAATTTAGTAACATGTTTTATCATAGTCTGAAAATTGTAAGCAACAAGTTTTGAAAACATAAGTAAATAATCTCACATGGTACATAACAGTAGTAAACATGTTCGAATTCAAATGACATTAGTATTAAGTGTTCCTAATTTTGTGTGATCTTGTTCGCATGTAATGTTTTCGTATAGGCGGATGGTTTTTGGAACTAACCCCTTTATGCTTCTTGGATCCAGTGCCCTGCTGCTGGGTTGGCTCTTCCTCAGTGTGCTTCGCCGACCCCGTAGTCAACTCTTCTACCGCACGCTCTACAGATTCAACCTTCTCGGTGAGAAGTTTGATCTGCTTTTCACAGCTACCAAGACCATTCAGCATCTTGGTTGAAAAGCTTTTGAAGCATTGGTCGAAGTGCGCTTTCATAGTAGCGACAACTCCGACCCCTTCATCACCAACGAATGATGCGGCAGATGCAGAGACTGTGCGGGATCTCTTGCGACTTGATTCATCTGAGGGAAGGCTCCACTTTCCGGCTTCTGACTTGACGATGTGTGCACCCAAAATACCTTCCAAAGGCCAATGGTTTTTTGAGAACTTGAAATTGGGGTCATGGATTGCATTGACAATCTTGACAATATCTGAATCCTGTTCGTCATCATCCCACACGGGAAACATATCCGCCAAGTCCTTAGCCACGCAGCACTGTATGCGAGCCTGGAAAAACACAATTAATAAATGGATTTAGGGCCATATGAAGCCTCGGAAAAATACGTATGAAGTCTACTCCTGAAGTCTAACAATGAAGTCTACTTTCAGTAAAAGAAGTCTACTTTCACAAAAAGAAGTCTACTTTCACTAAATGAAGTCTACTTTCACAAAATGAAGTCTACTTTCACATTCTAAGTACAATCCGAGTCGTGAAGTCTACTGAAGCCAACCGAAGCAATCTTAACATTAAAAAAAATAGTATATGAAGCAATCAAAACATCATAAATACTACATATGAAGTCTACAGAACCCAACCGAAGCAATCAATACATGATAAATACTGTATATGAAGTCAATCTACAAAGTTTAGAGTGTTACCGCCTTTATTAGATGCAGCTGGCGCCGAGAAAATACAACCAGATCTGGTAAAAAAACCTAATTCAAACCCGACGGAACAAAAATTACAGGAAGATAGAAGAAATTTAAGAATTGCTAAGTATATAACTTCGGAACAACATCTACTAACCGTTTTGAGGCAGGAAATTACTTTAACCTCCAACGGCGAAAGCAAATCTGCAAAAAAAAAAAACCCTAATTTCAGATCTGGAAAATGGGGGTTTAGAAAACGGAACGGTGATGAATACGGAGGAGTAGGGAAGCATGAGGGTGTGGTTGGAGAAAGAAAACTTGCCTGAACGAGTTTATCGGCGGCAGTTCTGAATGTCGACGGCGCCGGAGCAGAGAAACGGAAATCGCCTTCGAGTTTTTTTTTTTTACACGAACTTTTCGATGGTTTTTTTTTAACGGGATCTGTAATTCGTATATATAGTCTGGTAATTCCGTACGGTTCGGGTAAGTTTTTTCCGGTTAAAGTTGCTAATTTTCCGGGGTCTAGGTTAATTTACCCGGTTAAGGGCAGTTTCTCTTGGTTAAGGGATGTTATTCCCGGTTTAATCTCGGTTAAATGTCCGTTAGGTTAATTTTTACGGTTTAGTAGACTTCAATATCGAAGTCTACAACTTTTAAAACCTAAATAATAAATTTACTTCTACTTAATTTAAAAACATACATTTCCATTTACCAATGTGAAAAAATAATTTTTTTTGCATTTGGGTTACGATTACGAAATTTATGATGGTAAATTTCATACCAAAATAATTTTTTATAAATTTTTAAATTAAATTTACAGATTTAATTACTTAGTAGACTTCATTTGATAAAATGAAGTCTACTAGTAGACTTCAGTTTTACTTTAGTAGACTTCGTCAGGGAGAAAACGGTAATTTGGACATCCGTCTTTTGTTTACTCATACATGATTAAATGGTCTTTTCACTACCCCTGTAGGTTTTATCTGCTAAATGTTTTTTCAGGGATCTACTTTTATATTCAAAATCAAATTTTGGGTTATTTTTAGCAAAAATCTCATTTATTAATTATGCATGTAGAGCTATTTCCGAGAATGTTTTAATGATATTATAACAAATGCATGTCTAGATTCAAGATAAATAAAAAACTCGTGGGAATTCGGAGCGTTAGGGTTATAGCCATTTCTTTTACGTATATCTCGATTAAATCTCATCAAAATTCTTACCTTTGCATAGATATGGCTAATCAAATTAGCTTATCTTCTGAATCCTCCAGTGGTGAAAATGACGATACAAACTATTCGGCGAAGCTACTTGATCTAGAAGCTCTTAACTGTCCTATTTGCCGTGACCCGTTGACTACTAGTATTTACCAGGTTTCGTTTCTTCTTTGTTTCTACATAAAATGTATAGTGAATGTTTCGAAAAAGGGTTGACCAGATTTTGGAAAATGGGTTACTGAGCTGTTGTGTTCACTAGAAAATTAGAAATACTGTTTTTGCTAGTTTTTTATTTATTTAATTATAATCCCATTTTAGTATTTATACATGTTTTTACATTTCAGTGTGACAATGGACATATATGCTGGAAAATGGGGTTATTGAGCTGTTGAGTTCACTAGAAATTTAGAAATATTGTTTTTGCTAGTTTTTTTTAATTTAATTATCTTCCCATTTTGGTATTTATACATGTTTTTACATTTCAGTGTGACAATGGACATATATGCTGGGAAATGGGGTTATTGAGCTGTTGAATTCACTAGAAAATTATAATTATTGTTTTTGCTAGTTTTTTTATTTAATTATCATCCCATTTTTCTATTTATACATGTTTTTACATTTCAGTGTGACAATGGACTTATATGCTAGAAAATGGGGTTATTGAGCTGATGAGTTCACTAGAAAATTAGAAATATTGTTTTTGCTAGTTTTTTTATTTAATTATCTTCCCATTTTGGTATTTATACATGTTTTTACATTTCAGTGTGACAATGGACATATATGCTGGAAAATGGGGTTATTGAGCTGTTGAGCTCACTAGAAAATTAGAAATATTGTTTTTGCTAGTTTTTTAATTTAATTATCATCCCATTTTTGTATTTATACATGTTTTTACATTTCAGTGTGACAATGGACATATATACTAGAAAATGGGGTTATTGAGCTGTTGAGTTCACTAGAAAATTAGAAATATTGTTTTTGTTAGTTTTTTTTTCTTTAATTATCTTCCCATTTTGGTATTTATACATGTTGGTTAGCAACAGTAGTTAGTTAGAAACAGTAGTTAGTTAGAAACAGCAGCCGCGGATCAGTCGGAGAAGTCGACTCTTCTGGAGCGTTGAAAGACTGAGTCTAGGACTTGGTTGAAGACGAGCGGGGATCGAAGTCTGCGGGAGGAAGTAGCTATGCTGGAAAATGGGGTTATTGAGCTGTTGAGTTCTCTAGAACATTAGAAATATTGTTTATGCTAGTTTTTTTTTATTTAATTATCATCCAATTTTGGTATTTATACATGTTTTTACATTTCACTGTGACAATGGACCTATATGCTGGAAAAATGGGGTTATTGAGCTGTTGAGTTCACTAGAAAATTAGAAATATTGTTTTTGCTAGTTTTTTTATTCATTTAGTTCTCTTCCCATTTTGGTATTTATACATGTTTTTACATTTCAGTGTGACAGTGGACATATAGCTTGCTCTATATGCTGTGAAGAACTGGGGAACATATGCCCTTATTGTGATTTTCCCATTGGTCAAATTCATTGCAGCGCAATGGAGAGGGTTCTTCAATCAGTCCTTGTCCCATGTCCAAACGCCAAACTCGGCTGCACCAAGAGTTTCTCTTATGGGACAGAGTTAACTCATAAGAGAGAATGTATTTTCTCTCGATGCTACTGCCCTGCAGAGAATTGTGATTACTCTGGCTCTTATAAGGATCTATACTCTCACTTTGGTATTCACAAGGGCAGAGGAAGATACAACTACCTGTTTCTTTTTGACCAACCTGCGGAAATATACTTTGAACTGTCTGAGTATACGTCAGTTGTTATGAAGGAAAACAAGAATGGTCTATTGTTTGTTGTGCACTGTTTCAGAGAGCCACATGGTATTTATGTGACTGTGAATTTTATTGCACCTTCTGCTGTGGAAGTGGGTGATTTCTCCTGTCACATCTCCTCCCTTGTGAAAAATTATTATATGGTGTTTGTATTGCCGAAGATCAAGGGGATTCGGAAAATGAGTTTTGAAACTCCTAAAGAGGATTTCATGTTGGTTCCTTCCTATTTCTTGCGTGGAAGTCAAGCGTTGAAGTTGAAGATGCTTGTCAAGAAGTTGAACCAAGGGTAAGTAAGCTGCGAGGAAGATGAAAACAATCTTAATTTTATTTTCTCGTTCTTTTTTTTTTTGGATTCCCATCAAAATTCTATCTATCTCAGCAAAGAACTGGAAGCTTATCAGTCTATTTTCGTTTTAGTTATTTTCCTAATTATTGAGATACTAGAATAATTTTTTTTAAAAGAAAATTGTACGACCCTTTGATTGAAAGTCGGATACAAATGAATTTGGAATGAACATCTTGGTTGAGAACCCAGTCTGTTAGTTGGAGTCTTCTCACCATCATTTCATTCATGATTAACCATCTGTGGATGCCTTAAGTGGCAAGAAAAACCCAGATCTGCATATGGTCCAAGGATTAGTAATTGTGTTCAGGAAGGAAATTTCAGCAGAATTTTAAGTAAAATTTTGTTAACTTTATAAGTACGTTCCTGTTTCTTCATTAAAAAGAAAACTCATGGTTAGCTTAGTTTGCCCACACTAAAAAAAAAAACTAAGACAAACAAAGTTTTACGGTCTTAGTTGGTTGCCGTTCTTACAACAAAGTTAGTTTAAAAAATCATTTAGATTTTATTTAATCTATTTTTGATTATGCTAAGTATTTGTTTTACTAAAGATTCATATAAGTGGTATTTAACTGAAAAAATTCAAAAAAAAAGTAGCCATGGAGGGCGCTGAAGAAATAAGGCAATGCATCTTACAGAAGCTTGATCTCCAACTAAATTCCGATCTTGGTACTTTCAGAATTGCGGATTTTGGTTGTTCTATTGGCCCAAACACGTTTCTTGCTGTTCAAACTATCATTGATAGTGTGAAAGTCAAACAATCAAAGGACAACAAAGAAGTTAGCCTCATGCCTCTCGAGTTCCAAGTATTCTTCAACGATCAACCCAACAACGACTTCAACACACTCTTTAGAACTCAGCTTCGTTCCTCCACACATGAATATTTCTCCACTGGCGTTCCTGGCTCCTTTTATGGCAGAGTGTTACCACGAAACAGCATCCACATTGGACATACTTCCTACACAATTCACTGGCTTCCCAAAGTTCCCGAACAAGTATGTGTCAAGAATTCTCTAGCTTGGAACAAAGATTACATTTAGTGTAATAATTTAGTAGAAGAAGTGACCAAAGCTTACAAAGTCCAGTTCACAGAAGACATGAAAGATTTTCTTGAAGCAAGAGCTGAAGAGATTGTTCAAGGAGGATTGATGATTGTATTAGGACAATGTTTGTCTGATGATGTTCCTATGTCTGAGACATGGCAGGGTATTGTGGTGGATATTGTAACACTCCGGTCCTAGGTTTCAAAGGAAACCAGATTAAACCGGCAGTATTATCTAACCTAGCCAATAATTCCTGAATAATCCTTAAATCTTATTCCAAATTAGATCAAATCCAGTCTTACAATAGAAATGAATAACTTGAATAAATCCAAAAATAAGCAGAAAAAATGTCTTAAAAGAAAATACGAAAAATAGTTCTTAAAGCAATAAAAATCTTCCTCCATCTCTGAGGGCACACCACACTAGAGCTACTTGTCTAGTTCCTCCCAGACATCATTACAATCAAATTCATCACACTCACCTGGAATATAGATTTAAGAGAGAGGGGTGAGTGATTTGGGAAAATTACTCAGTGAGAACCCTTGTTCAAAAACTCGGCCGCCTAGCCGCCTAGTCGGCCGCCTAAGCCCTAGGCGATGGGTGACCGCCCCGACTAGGTGCTAGGCAGCGTCTCTAGGCGGTCTCCGATTTTTTACCGCCTAAGATCGTCTAGGACCGCCTAAAACTGCCTAGAACCGTCTAAAATCGCCTAAAACTGCCTAAGATTAATTAAAAAACAAAATTATCGTCTAATTTTTGAAAATCAACCCAAAAAATCTCAACATTTTTGAAGTTGGGCCAACTTTATTAATAAATTTCCATTTTTTATTCTGAAATCGGCCCAAAATCAGTCCAATTGTTCTTCTTTCCCAATTAAAAACGACATCACATTTAATACTTAACCAATTAACGATTTTGACGACCTAATCCCTAATTAACAATTTTTAATTCAACTAAATTACTGAAATCAAATCAAAATCAAATATAAGCAAGTTCAAGTTCCAAAATAATTAAAAATTAAATATAATATAAATTAATCAAAAAATTAATTACCAATTAATCAGCGATTAATCACCGATTTTTGACCTAGGCGCTAGTCGGAGCCCGTCCGCCCGCCTACCGCCTAGCGATTTTTTGAACACTGGTGAGAACCAAACCAGGCTCCCTTCCCACTCATTTATTTTCCACCAACATGTCAAGAATAAATCCAACAAGCAACACACAAGCATCCTAGCGATGCACAAACAACTAACAAGCAATGATGTCTCCAACCCGCCTATCACACAAGGCCACACCTCCCAGTCACACAGACTAGGACAACATCTCCCATGTCACACAGACATAATACCAGGCAGTCACACATACACACCTCCAGCCATACAGGCTCCGGAAGGATCGTCGTACCTTCCCCCACCGTTGAATTACCGCTATAGTCACACAGACAACAATAGCGCAGCAAACAAGTCCATACCTCGACACATCATCACCGAGATGAACACCTGATCTAGCTACATTACCAATCACTACCACACATCAGGGTGAACAATCAAATATGCTGGTTCTTCCTCTGATGAGATCTTAATTCATTTCATTAGACTCACACATGGATCTAGCTAGATGCACAAGGAAACATCCTAGACTCATCAGATCTAGACTCCACACACCAGAAGAAGACAAATGAATAAGAAGAAGACCCTAGATCTAATCCTCACCTTGGCCTAAAAGCAGATCTGACTTAAGGAGAACTGGTGGCAAAGGAATCAAGGAGTTTCTGCGAAGGAGGAGGCTGACGACCACTCCTTGTCCTCTCAGACGGCAGCGGCGGTGAGCTCAGGCGGCTGCGGCGGCTGGAAAAATACCTCAGAGTCATGGTCGTTGCTTACAGCGATGCTGGGTTGATTTTGATCGAGGCAGTGCCTATCGTCGGAAAACTATCCTTTTACGTGGATAATCCGGTTTCTAGGGAATTTGTAAAAATCCTTCCTCCAAGGTTTCATCAGAAGGCAATTCACTATCCGTTGGGTATTGTCACACGAATCGATAACGGCGTCCTTTTGAGTTATAAAATTATTTCTTATGATGGAAAACAGAACTACAACTACTGCAAGATTTTAAGGTTAATGATATATTCATCTGAGACAGGCTTGTGGAATGACGAAACTGTCCATTTGCCTTTCTCCTTTGAGTTAATTAATAAATGTAGGTGCTCCATTAGCTTGAACGGAAATCTTTACTTGCTAGCCTGCAAGGATGACCTTAAAGAATTTGTTTTGTCCATCGATTACAACGCCACTTGCCGTGTAACTCCTTTCCCTGATTTAGACAAACGTCGTAAATTCGAAAGATTTTTCACAACTTCTCAAGGGAATCTCATGTATATGAACATATTCTTCCATGATGGAAGTCTCGATCATAAGTTATTCTTCCATGATGGAAGTCTCGATCATAAGTTATGTGTATGGACGCTAAAGAGCTGGGAATGGCAACTAGTATCTGAAATCTCTGCGGATTTTACCAAGACCTTTCAGTTGGCAATAAACCTTTTTGATGCTACAACAGCTTACTTTCGGTGCATGAAGCGCCACTGTTTGCTATCTATTAACTTAGACAATGGGGAGTTTGTTAGATACCTGAAAGATAACATCTTTGAATGTTACTATTCCTCATTCGTTCTCCCTTAATGGCTGCATCGGATCCCCAAGACAGTGAGGAGAGTCTAGACATAGTGTTTGCAAGGCTTCTTTATATTTGCTAATTACTGAGTTTGGTTCCATAGGCAAGATGAAGAATTGTAGGATGGTATTGTACGGTTTATTTTAAGTGGTTTTGTTTTATTTATGAAATTGGCTACGGCCCTGAGATATTAGTGTTTTCTATATTCAGACTTCACTAAACATCCGACCAAAATAAATAGAGTCATATGGATTGCAAAAACCGAGCTGGAAAGTGTTTGGATAGGGTTTAGGAAAACGGCACAAAATTTTGGATCTTCAACTGTTTATTTAATTTAACCAGCTTCAACTCTTGCCAATAAGAATAAGAGGTGTTAAGTTTGGAACCTAGAGTAAGATTGTAACCAGCTTTCAGCTTTCAACACATTTTTTTCTGGGGATATATAATTTACATTGTATGATCTTTCTGGTTCAGAATCCGTTCTTGAGCCATAGCGTTGAGATTGTTGTTTCTATGACCAAGGTGGTTTTTGTCACCCGATACATTGTAATCTCTTCAAGATGAGTAGCCCACTCCAAATATGAATATAAAAGTATTACAATATTTCGACTGATTAAGCAGGAGTGGTAAGGTGATATTGTTCTCTGGACCTTTAACGGAAATCCTGAGCGTTGAGATTGTTGTTAACTCATTATACAACTTGAAGAATAATGTTTGATTTAGTTGACAGAGAAGAGAAAAAGGTTAAAAATCCATTACCATATCTGACATCTAATGAACAAAAAGAGATATCAGAATCTCTGTTTATTTTGATTCACTTGAATAGATTGAACGATGGTCATATTTAAAAATGAAGTGGTGGTGAATGAATTAGTGATTCCTATTTGTTAACGAGTTGTTTTGTAGGTACTTCTTCATGCTTAGTTATGTTTAAGAAACACTAGACTTAATCACTTAAACGACGTAATATTGTCACTCAAACTTATGTTTATGTTCTTCTTACTTGTGTCACTCAAAGAATGGTTCAATATTCATTAGTGGATGTTAATGAATGGTTATTTACGTTAACTCCACAAAACGCAAAACAGATACTATTCCAAATTCACACTCACTGCATCACACTTCTCGACAAAACACATGGCAAAAACCAGAGTGGAAAAAATATAAGTGTAATTTTGATGCGAGCTTTAATCATGAAAATCTCCACTCTAATGTAGGATGGGTTGTAACAGATCATTGTGGCATACAGTATTTTTGGGGTTCAGCATCGATTGGACAAACAATCCTCACCACTGGAGGCAGAAGCTAAAGCTCTACTCTTGGCAATGCAACAAGTCTGGTGTACAGGACTTTGATCACTATGTTTTGAAGGAGATTGTAAAACACTCTTTGATGTCTTAGAAAAGAAATCTGCTGAGTTCACTATCCAAAATATATGCAGTGATATCTCTCATTGGACATCAAAATTTGTGGAATGTAAACTTCAACATACAAAAAGATCAAACGATATTCTAGCTCACCTGCTTGCCAAAAAGGGTCCTCCAAATTCCATTTTCTTTTCTTCAAAGTTGTATCCACCAAGATGGTTATCAGTTTCTTTGTATTCTGATTATGTAAACTCATTTTAAAATAAATAAAATTCACTTTTGCCGAAAAAAAAAAAAAAACTTGTGTCACTCAAACGACTGTGGTTTTGTCATTTTACCGAAACGAGACGTTTTGGTGCTTCTTCTCTGTTATTCTTGAATCTTCACTCGAGTCGCCATTTCAGCATTTCAGATTCTCAGAAAAGAAACCCTAAATCCTTGCTTCTTCTCCCCTCACTCTCAATTCGTCTGCCTCTTGATCCTTGTGGGTTAGTCAGAACAGAAAAACCCACTAGTAGTTCGTTCTATTCGATTTGACAAATATGCTTATACAAAATTGAAACTGGGCATGGACTTTAGGGATTGCATGTTTGTTCTTAGCTTCTAGGCTCTTTTCTTGTTACTCTCTTAATATTTTATGTAAATGTTCACTCTTTCCTCTGTTTTTCCCCCTTTCACTCTTTTTGGTATGTAATTTGTCTTCTGTTCCGTGATGTTGATATCTGGGTATGATCAAATTCATAAATTTTGTATCTTTGATCTCTTACAATCTCTATTTGTATGATCAGTTTCATAACTTTTGTCTCTTTGATCTCTTACAATCTCTATTTGGGTTTTCTTATTCATGATTGTTTTGGCGATTTAAGTTCCTCGAATCTTGTATTTGTGTTTGCTCTTCTGCTGAGAATTGGATTATGCTATGAAGCGAATAGTTGTGGTTTAAACCCTGTTAGCACTTTTTTTTTTATTTTGAGTTTCTGAATCGTTTCATATGCCTACTTGCCATTAAGCAGATATTGATTTCAATGTCACTTTTAATTTATGCAGGATGGATTCGCAGTCACAGGAGGAAGCAATTGCGGCTCTTAATGCTGAGAATGAATGGGAAATGAATAAGTGTGACTTTGAAAATCAGGAACCAGCAAGAAACGAGACTCAAGCGACTCAAACGGTTTTTAATTCTAATCGAAGCCTGAGAGCTGATGTCTGGAAAGAGTTTGTGTCGGTGGGAAAAGGGGAAGATGGCAAAGAAAGGGGTCGTTGCATCCATTGTAGTAAGAGTTTTGTAATAGAGAGGAATAATGGAACATCAGCTTTAAGGCGCCATTTACTATCTGCTTGCTCAAAGAAGCCTAAAGATAAAAGTGGAAGCAATGGTGAACAAGACAAAGAAGTGGGAGCCTCAGTTTCCGAATCCTCCTGCGACAGAGAAGAAGTGAGCAACATTCTCTCGAAAAAGAGACAGCGTAGTTCGATATCGGAGGACAAGACACGCTCGGCGATGCTGCTCGGTCTGGATATTCTCGACTGTCCCATTTGCTTCGAAGCACTAACTGTTCCTATCTTTCAGGTATTGTTTCTGATCTTTTTTAAAGAGTTTCTTTTTCTTGTAACTAGAACTGTCCATCCCTTGAAATGTGGTTTCGCTATGAGTCAAACTCTGCAGAGGATAGTTAATGCATCCATAGCTTTTGTTGATTTTAGGTTTCTGGCAAAGTTTGACTCTTTGTTTCTAAAAGATTTATATTCCACATTTTGTGAAGCTATATGCTGATAAAGACACATTTTTTACAAAACCCATGTTTACAAATGTAGTTCTTGAAAATGTGTGTATAACTATGGAAGATCTAGTATATATCATGAACTATCGATTCCCAATTGAGGTTTTTTGTAACGCTTCATTTGGGTTTTCTACTGTGACAATGCGATTTGCTTACTGTTTTCAAAGTTCATGTTCCAGGTTTTGGTTTCTTATCTGTTTCAACCTAAAAACAGTTTATCTCACTTTAAAGAGTTTCCTTTTCTTGTAACAAGAATTGTCCATCCCTGGAAATGTTGTTTCGTTACTCTGCAGATGATAGTTGGAGTATCCATAGCTTTTGTTGATTTTAGGATTCTGGCAAAATTTGATTGTTGTTTTTTTAAAAAATTTAGGTTCACCTTTTATGAAGCTATATGATGATAAAAGACACATTTTTTAAAATGTGTGTATAACTATGCAAGATCGAGTATATTTCATGAACTATCAAATACTATATCGATGAATCCTCTCCATGAATTATATTAATTACCAATTGAGGTTTTTTTGTAAAGCTTCATTTGGGTTTATTTACTTTGACAATGCGATTTGTATGTTAAACTGATTTCAAAGTTCATGCTCTCTTCATTGCTATTTGATATTCACTGCGAGGAAATATTTTCTCTTCTTGAATATATTCATTACCTAAAGAAGTGGAAAACCCTTTGCTAAGTTTCTTTTCAGGAATATGTGCGGTTATTAAAGCTTTGATCGAAACTCGTTGGTTTTGCATTTCAGTGTGATAATGGGCATTTGGCTTGCTCTTCGTGCCGTCCCAAGCTGAGTAATAAGTGTCCTGCATGTGCTTCTCCTATTGGCCACAATCGCTGCAGAGCAATGGAGACTGTGCTCGAATCAGTCTTTCTTCCATGTCCAAACGCCAAGCTTGGATGCACCAAGAATGTCTCTTACGGGAAAGAATCAACTCATGAAAAGGAATGCACTTTCTCTCAATGCACCTGCCCTGCATTGGACTGCAATTACACCGGATCATATAATCAGATATATAGTCATTTTGTTGATGACCACAGTCACAAACCCAAATCTATGTCCTTTGTGTGCGGTGGTTCTGTTGATGTTCAGATGAACGTGGCTAGCGACAAGATGTTAGTTCTTTGGGAATTCAAGAAGAAACTATTGTTTGCACTTCAGTGTTTCAATGAGCCGGCTGGTGTGTATGTGACCGTTAGATGCATCGCACCATCTTCTCCTGAAGTAGAAAAGTTTCCGTATTGTCTCTCCTACTCAATGGATGGGCACACTCTTACTTATGAATCACCAGATGTCAAGAAGGTTCTTCAAGTGAGCTCTCAAATCCCACAAGACAATTTCTTGTTTGTCCCTCACTGTTTATTGCGATGTGACTTGTTGGAGATGAAGCTTTGCATTGGGCTTTAGGTTCGTACGGGCTCATAACACTCTCTAAACGTCCATTGGACAATCTCTCTACGTAGGTCTTGTTTGTTTTTGTTTGCAGATTAGTTAATTAACAGACTCGTAGGTGATGGAACAGCATTTGTATCTCAAAGCAGAGCTATTGTTTGATGGCTAAGCAAATAGATATTCTTTTATTTTATTTTTGGTCAAAAGCAAATAGATATTCTTAAGCTCTGGCTATAGGCTTAGCCACTTAATGTTTATTTCTACTGCTCCATAACGGTTTTAGGCTCCATTTATAATTAGTAGTAGTTTTGGTTTATGAATCTAACCTTTGAGCATAGTGGTTTTCTAACAGTTACGAATCGATTTGTCTTGAGGAATTATCACTAGTGGCCTATGATTGCATTGTAAGGAACAATGCTCAATATTTTATTCATTAAAACTACTTTCTTTTCTGATCATAAAATTTCTTTTCATTAATTAGAGAGTTACGTATGTAATCACAGTCACACAAATACTGTACTTTCCATACGAGTGGGCATAAAAACTCAGTTGAAAATTTATTAATCTGATGAATTCATAGTTATCCGAACATTTATACCGTTCGGACCAAACGACAATTTAAAATTTTAATTTGTAAACTGACACGTGGCAAAACAGACTACGAAATTAAAAGTTACATACACTTAAGGTTAATTAACTTATTTGAGCCCATCAAACTCTTCGAAATCCGTCCAAGTCATAATGTATGCATGCAGCTTTTACTCGAAAGTCTTCGGGAATTGGATTAGCAGAGCATGTGTTTAATTAGGTTTAAACCATCTCTTCTATTTATATGTGTAGAAATAATCATCCCGATTCACTAGTTCCATTTTATTTATTTTTCAGCAAATCAATAAAAAATAAAAAGCAGTAGTTCATAATCCATTTTGTATCGATATGGAATCTGATTCGGGCAACACTCGCTTGCACAAATCGAGAGGTTTGAGGACTTGATCACCAACATCAAATATAATGGAGTGTCCAATGATTTCCTCTTCTATAAGTTGTTTCCATACTCTTTTATTGGAGAAGCAGTTAACTGGTTGAAGCAGTTAGAACCAGGATCACTAACTATTTGGAAAGAGACCAAAAACGTCTTTCTGCACAACTTCTATGATGATGCTAGGTCTGAAAAGTTGAGACTCAAAATCTCAACGTTTTCTCAGGGACTGACTGAGGCATTCAAGGCTGCTTAAGTCGTACCAGCGAGATTGCCCCCATCATGGTTTCAGTAATGTTCAGTTGTTGGGTATTTTCTTCAGAGGTGTTATTTGGAGATATCAGATGGCTCTTGATGTTGCAAGCAATGTGAACTTCAACACCAGATACCCTGAAGACGCTGTTGTGCTTATTGAGAACTTGGCATCTAGCAATAGTACCAAGAATGCAGACTATCAGCGAAAGAAGCAGGGTGGAAACATGGATAGATCGCAGATTGCTGAGGTGAAGGCTAAGCTTGACTCTGTGCATAGCCTTCTTTTGGGTAAGAAATCTGTCAGATTCGGACCAGATGAAGCAATTGAGGAAGATGATGTTAACTTCATCAATGGAGCTCGATTTCAGGGTCAGAGATTTGGTACTCAGCAAGGGAACACGAATTACAATGGAAATAATCAGAGGAGTACCTTCACAGGTAATCAGAACTTTTCTGATTATAACTCTAAACCTCAGTACCAGACATCCTACTCCAACAACAGTTATTCAAGGAACTATGGTTCTCCTCCTGCTCAAACTCCTGATAATGAGGTGAAGTCTATGCTGGAACAGATCTTGGAAGGTCAGCAGAAGATGACTGTGGATTTCAATGGGAAGATTGATGCTCTGTATCTGGATCTGAATGGAAAAATTGAAGTTCTGAACACTCATGTCAAGAAGTTTGATACTCAGGTTGCTCAAACTGCACAGTCTGTAAAAAGGCAAGAAGGATTCCTTCCTGGGAAGACTGATACCAATCCTAGGCATTACTGCAGTGCCATCTCGTTAAGGAGTGGTAAAAAGTTGACTCATGTGCTTAAAAAAGATGTTTCTGAGGATGAAATCGTGGAGTTTGACGAATATGAAGAAAATTTCGAAACTGCAGAGCCAGTGTCGAGCGACACTATAACTAGTGTCGCGGGACACCAATCGCAGAGCGAAGCTGAAGTTGTTCAGAATCCGAAACCAACAGAAGAAAGAGTCTACAAACCTAAGGTTCTTTATCCAAGGAGTCCTAAGAAGTCCAAGCAGGAGCTAGAAGATGCTAGATGCAAGGCTTTGATGGAGAAGCTTGTGATTGAGATTCCTTTGGTTGATGCTGTGAAGATTGCTCCTACTCTCAGACACTATGTGAAGAAGATGGTGACTAATAATCTGAGTCATGAGGAAGGAGTGATGATGATTTCTGAACAAGTCAGTGCTGTGATTCAGAATAAAATTCTAGAGAAGCTCTCGGATCCAGGAAGCTTTGTTTTCGACTGTTCTATCTTCTTAGAGAGGTTCAAGAGATCGCTGTGTGATCTTGGTTCGAGTGTTAATCTCATGCCATACTCTGTAGCTGTAAGTCTTGGAATGACTGATTTCAAGCCAACTAAGATCTCTTTGATCCTAGCAGATCGATCTAAAGAATTCCAAAAGGTGTCTTGGAGGATGTTCCGATTAAAGTTGGTGATTGCATAATTCCTACAGATTTCGTGGTTCTGGAATATGGAGAGGAATCCAAAGATCCTCTTATCCTAGGAAGATCATATTTAGCTACAGCTGGAGCAGTAATTGATGTCAAGCTTGGTAACCTTGATCTCCACTTGGGAGATACCATCATGACTTTCAAGATGGAGAAGCTGAAGGATTCAACCATAGATGATCAGACATTCCAAATCAGTGCAATACATGAAGTGATAGTTGGAGATCATAACGTGTTTGATGCTGAGAAGGTGATAGATCAACCTGAGTTGACGAAAACGTCTACAGAACCACTGACTGCTGTTGATCAGGAAGCTCAAAACATCTCACTCTATTCATATCCACCAAAGCAAAGAGCACTTGGTTTTTCCATTGATGATATTGCAGGGAATAGGTTAAAGTCGTCCAAACACAGATCTCACCCTCTTGCTATTCTTGTATTCCTTGGACGACCTCATGCACACAACGCTTACACACCACCATGGATGAGACGACTTTCACAGAGGCATTATATGCCATTGTCTGAACCACCAGATGCATAATCTATCCATAGTCAAGCTAATGACTTAAAACAAGTGCTTGGTGGAAGGCAATCCACAGGTAAGTCTGTACTTTCAGCTAACTTTCGTTTTTCGTTTTCGTGTTTTAGGTGAAGTAGAAGTTGGTGTCGAGCGACACCACCATCGGTGTCGCTTGTCATTTGCTTCTGTCAAAAAAAAAAATTAGGAATTAGGTTAACAGGAAATCCAGAACTGGAGTGGAATCGGGAGTCGGATCGAGCACAAGGAGATTAAGTTCACGACGTACAAGTGTCGCGCGACACTACCTTTGGTGTCGCTCTAACTAACAAACAGGTAAGTTCTCCGTTTTTACTGTGTTTCTCTGTTTCCTTTCTTTTGTTTGACCACCTTCGGACTAGATAACACTGGGGACAATGTTGTTTAAGTCTGGGGGAGGTAGTCGCTGACATTGTGTTTGTTTTTCTTAAGAGTCAATTGTGTCAAAACGTTTTTTAGTCAAAACTTGTTGGAGATTATGATGTTTTTCCTGAAATTATTGTGCTGACCTTTCATCTAAGTGACCACTGCTGCAAATTCAGTCTAGATCCGACTAATGAAAAATCCAAAGGCTGACCAGTTGACTAGAGGCGTCCATGTTTCCAACAGAGTCGACTAACCTGAGCTAATTTCTGAACTCTTTCTTTTACCTCATTGATGTGACTGATGTTTATAGAGCTTGATTCCTCGTTCATACTTGACAAATGAAAGCCTGTGTGAAATCTAATGTTGGTGCTTCTCTCCCTGTGACGAGCTTAAATAAAAAAATGAAGAAAGAAAGAAAAAGACAAAAAGATTGAGATGATTTTCGCTTAGGATTGAAGGGGTAGGAAAATTTCCAAAGATCCCATTATTTCACTTCTAAGTTGGAATGATCACACAAAGGAAGGAAGTGAGGGGTAGGAAAGTTTCCTATGACCCCACTATTCGCTGAAAACCTTTGATACAAGGTAAGGGGACAACTCGGGGACTCGATGGCAAACACCATCAGTACTCGCAGCTTTACCCTTATCGAGTATATGCCAAAGAAACGAGAAAAAGAAAAAGATGATGAGTGTGCAAAAAGAATAAGTCTGGGGGAGAGAAAAGTACTAAAGTGTGTAAGGCTGATTTGTTTGAGTATAGATACGGAAAAAGAGTCTAGAAGGTTCTTGGCATCTAAATCATCAGTGAGATCCAGCGATGAGGGTTTATGGACAATGTTCTGGAATTTTGGACTTAATCTGGAACGCTGTGAATGTTTGCGGAGAAGTACATGGTGGTTCGATTTGGAATGATGAAGCAGTAGTTGAGTTGCAGGGTGATCTCGGTCAAATTGATGTTCCAGTGAAAGGTTGAGTCTCCGTGTTTTCAAACCTCTTTCTCTTATTTTGTGTTCTGTTTGCTTGAGGGCAAGCAAATGCTAAGTCTGGGGGAGTTGATATATCATGGCTTTTATGGTTTTTAACCATGGTATATGTCTTATTTATAGAGTCTTTCTAGTGTCTTTCAAGTCTTTTAGAGTCTTTACAAGTCATAGGTACGTTTGGAGCTTAATTGGTGATTTTGGAGCACTTTGGAGCTAAACAAGGATCAAATTCGTGAAGAATGAATTATGTGCTTTAGTGTCGCTCGACACCATGAAGAGTGACGCTCGACACCGATCGCAGAAATAAGAAAAACGTGATTTTGTTTCCTGTTTGAAGAAGGAGTTGGGCCCAAAAGTCTCCAATAATTATAAGGAAGCCCAAAACGTGTTTTTAAATTATAAATAAGGTTTTTAGCCACCTTATATCGATACCTTAGATTTTCTTAGAGAGAACTTTTGTTTTTGAGAGCTTTTGGGAAGACAAGTCTGAAACTCTGTTCAGGGGAGAGAAGATTTTGAACCCATGTTTATTAATCTATTTACTGCTTTCTGCAATCTATTCATTCATGTTTATTGTTTCAATCTCCATGTCTGAGTAGTTTGCCTGTTAGGTTTAGGGTTCTCATAAAGGATTTCTTTGGATGTTAGATTGATTGATTAGTTAGGGTTCATATCTATTTAGTTCTTCAACATATGTTGTTCTTAAAGCTAATTCTGGACTGGTCACCTAGAACTTAGATCTTAGGTTAATTGATTGACACGGAAGTGTAATTGAATAACTGGAAAGAACCTACGGTGAGCAAAGTAGCTATTCGCAAAGGAATTTGGTTTATATACTTTTTGAACATATCGAACTTGAGTATTAAAACTGGTTTAAGTCTTTAGGGTTTGTAAAGGAATTTAGAATTCTAGGATTTAGACTTAGATAGTTCTCGCAACAGAAGTTGGTTAATTATAATTTCGTGATTTGAGTTTAAAAACCATGCTTAACCCTGAACCCTGATTTACCGAATAATCTGCATTCTCTGATTTCCTGAGAAATACTCTGAGCCTAATTCTTTTCCATCGAGTTTACAACCGTTTTGCTTTAATTGTTGTTTTTAATTTCATTGTGTTTGCTTAGCATAATTCAACTATATAGAGTTTATTGAGCGAATCTCTCGTCTCTGTTATTCGATCCCTATTATATTACAACTACAAATCTATGCTCTTGCAGAATAGTTTCTTAAACTTTGAGCATATCAATAGTATTATCTCATTCAAGTCTAATACACAGTCAGATTTTAGAGTTCTCAAAACTCTGAAAGTATGCCAAAAAGGCAAAAACCAATGCCTTTATCTTTCACACATCACTCTGTATATACGAAGCAAAATGTAACTGTACATTTATGTAATATGCTCAGTTACTATGGTATCGGTAGTAGACTAATTCATAGTCTTTTTCCACAAATATACACTACAGATTAACAACAAATAACTTTTATAATCCATTGTCTTATCAATAATTTTATAGAATTAGGAATTTGAGAGTTGGACAAAAACTATTTCCTTAATATAGCACACTATTAAACACGTAATAAATAAAACAAAATCAGATGAGTTAATTAGATAATTAAACTCTGACGAAAAAAGAGCCACTCGTATCTAAAAAGTGCCCAACATTAATTACTTTTCATTTCGATTCTAGTACATATATTTATATGTAGTTATTATTCTATAAATTTCTCTTAAATCTTTTCATTGTCACTCTAACCTTCTTTTTCAAAAAAATATGAAATCAAATATAATTGTCTAAAGATGTTGTTATTATTGTGGGTTTATCTCTTGTGTTTTGATGAAACTGCGAGTCTCAATAATCGTTTTATGAATGCAGAAACATTGCAAAGTTTCAACGATTTCGAAATCGAAGAACAACTTAGAATCATCAACAAACCTGCGGCTAAAAACATCAAAGTCTGTTTAATCCAAAGTCATTTTGTACTATTTTAGACCATTTCCATAATTTTTTTAAGCCTATATGTTCACCTTAATTTGTTGTTCTTTCTTTCTTTTTTTTTGTTAAAGGAAACGAACGCATGTTCTTACACCATGACATATGAAGTGAACAAAAACATTTTCTAATCTATTTTTGTTTTTGGATGATAGATTATACATGGTGACACATACGGATGTGTGGATTTTTACAAACAACAAGCGTTTGACCATTCGTCGATGAAAAATCTCGTTTTCCATTATGAGGTAAACATAAGATGTTTTGGCCATTTTTATATTTGCATCATATCATTTGATTTTGTCAACTTTTATGCACTATATAATTGATAGTCTAACCATATTTAAAGCACTACTGGTGAAATGAATTTTAAAACAAAAATGTTGATATATTAGCAAAAACAAATTGAGATAATTTATACAATTTTTTAATCTTCGCGCATACACCTATAACAATTGATAAAATAGAACATATGGAGAATTTTTATATGTGAGTTGCAATTTTGTTTTTTTTTTTAAAAATATCTCTAACAACATTTAACAAAAAAAATATCTCTAACAACAGGTGCAGCGTTTTATAAAACAAAATCAATTTTTACAGAAATATTTCTAAGAGTTAGTCCTTATGGCAATCATTAACACATGCTTTATTTTAACTGTAGATGCGTCGGATATCATCCTTCCAAATTTCAAGAGCGAAAAGGATAAACAATAAAACGTTTGGTTACTTGTGGGAAAATGGCATAGGGTGTCCAAGTGGTACCGTACCCATAAAAAGAGTCACTAAAGACGAATTCTTGAGATTAAATTCGTTCTCCGACAAATATAAGCCTCAAGGTTCTTGGAACTGCACTTATAATCAACTTACTGTCAATACTGACCAACATCACGTAAGTGGTATATTCTTTGGCATTTTTCAAAACAAAGTCAAAGAATGGTAAAATTGTTGATTATGAATGGTAATGATGATTAGTATGCGGTTTACCGTACCAAAGGAAAAAAGAAAAACTACAATGGAACAATGACAATAACTGTACATAAAGTTAAACCTAAACAGTTCAGTTCTTCTCGTATGCACATTCAGATTGGAGAAGATTATATTCAAACTGGTTGGACTGTAAGTTTGTTATCATATTTTATATTTGATTTGAGATTGTTGCCTAAATCTATATCAAAATAAAAAAAAAAGTTATGATAAGTTGATACTTTGATAATCTTTACAAATTTAATGCTTAATTTTGATATTACACAGAAATATGTTTACTTTTCAGGTCAATCCAGCATTGTATTCTGATAGCAAAACTCGGAATTTTGTGTTTACAAAAGTAAGTTGTTTAGTCTCTCTATAACATAGTACATTAAGAATATAAAACTCAAGTTCAAAGGAAATTACAAGCTATGCCAGTTGAAAATATTTTCACAAGTTCTTTTAAGATTACAAATTTTTAAAAGATTCAATACTATTTTATGAATCAATATACAAAATCTTTTCATAAGATCTTTTAGTGTATTGTAGGCAGCAAATAAATCAAAACTTGCCCGTAATGCGGATTGACTCTTAGTTTTACAAATTACTTATCATGTGGATGATCAGTGACATGATCACATAGCATATATATGAAAGTTACTCATACCGTACCAAACAATTAAATAACAATTTATAATATTATCATTTTCGTGTACGTCACTATCATATATCTTACCGTCTACAAATATTTAACTACAAAAATATCATTTTCAAGATAACATTTTTAAGAAAAAAAATCAATCAAAAAGTAATAATTATGCCACCATATTGATTATACGTTAGGTATTAACGATATAGATAATAATGGTGCAGGCAGGTAATTATCAATGTTATAACAGCATGTGTCTAGCTGGGATTACAATAGTGCGTCCAGATTTTCCTCTTGGTTCGGTTCGGGATCCTAAAACAAGCTACGAAGATAGATATGGCTTACTCAAGGTTTGCTAGTGATTAACTACTTAATGAGATTATTATAATAGGTTATGTGAGTCGTAAAAAATCTGATGAGCATTCTATAAATTCCTAAGAAACTAGGTTATCTTATTCAATTTTTTCAGTTATATATTATCTACATATATAACTCATCAAATTGATACTTATATTTTGCCGTTTGATGAGTGAGTGAATACGGTGTGACAATACTAATTGGAAAAAGGAGGATCTTATTTGTTTCGTGCAAAGAATCAAAAGAAAAAGCGTATTATTAATGTTTATATGTAACATCCCGATTTTTGATTAACCAAATATAGGATGTTATCAGTTTTTAATTTTGGTTTTAATTAAATTAAACTATTTCTATTTCCTTTTTTTTTATTTCCTTTTTATTTGGGTTTTTCCTAATTTCTTTCTAAAAGCCCATTAAACCCAATTCATCTATTAAATCTCCATATAAATACCTAATTAAATCTCTAAAACCTTCATTAAGCTCTTAATCAATCCTAGCCACCTTTTTCCTCTCTCTTTTTCTCCTCTCTGCGCCGAGCTGCTCTCTTCCTCTCTCTCTCTGCGTTTTCTTCTTCTTCCTTCTCTCTCTCTTGGCCGCCGCCATCCTCCGAGCCTTTCTCGCCGCCGAAGCTTCTTTGCCCAGCCGTGATGTCTGTGCCGCCTCCTTCTACTTTGAGTGAGATGGGATCTGATTCTGATGGATCTCATCTTAGATCTCTTTCGCCTCTGCCTCCTTCTCCAGTTTCTCAGCCTTCTAAGTCAATGTGAGGGCTCTATGGCTTCATCCTCTCTTACATATACATGGTTGACTTTTAAGTGGTTTTTTCTGAGATCAGGCTTAGATCTGCTTGTTAGGGCTGTTAGAATTGTTTAAGACCTGGATATATGTTGCCTGTTTGTTGATGATTGCTGGTTGCTGGTGGAATGAGATAATTAACCTGAATATGGATCTAAACTTATTTGGACCTTAAAATATTGATTGTGTGATGTTGACCTGATTAATGTTCCTTTTGTTACAATTGGTATCACCGAAAGTGCATCTTAATAATGGAAGGACCTTTAAGAAAAGAATGGTTATATGAAATGGATGATTTGTGCATAGTAGATCTCTATTAGGAGCCCTGACTCCTGGAGGCGGGAGTCAGTGTTGTTTGTTGGCTATCGCTGTCGTGGAGGCACAACTAGAGTCATCGCTGGAGTGGATTAGTTATCCACTGGTTATTGGGCCGTCCAAGGGGACCGCTGGGTACAGTTTTCTGGTGAGACCGCTATGAGCAGCTGTCTGAGTGACCGTTAGTGTCATAGCCTGTCTTGGTGATTGCTGTGGACCAGTCTGTGTGACTGGCAGAGTAGACCTGACTAATGGGTATGGTAATAGGCCAGCCATTGGATGGGATTATTCCGGTTGCTTTTCCGGGTGAGGCATGGGGGCTCATGTGGCAGCCTACTGTTACTGGCAAAGGACAGGGACCCGCTGCTTGTGTAGTTGCTTGTAGGGCTACCCTTGAATGATGTGTGAATGATTGCTAGGAATGAACTGTCTATATATAAGTAAATATATATATATATATATATATATATATATGTTGATTGGACTTGCTTTAGGATTAGATCTCTTAAAACCAATTTATGCTAGTTTGATGATGTTGTGGGCTTCCTTAAGGCCCATCCTCACTGAGTAATCCCAATTACTCACCCCTCCTATCCCCTTGCTTTCAGGTTTAGTAGAGAGATCAGCCTAAGTCTATGTTGTTGATTGTTACCTGGGCGTTTTCTTGGCGATCCTGTGTGCTCACCAAATCGGACATCTTACCGGACGCGGTTCGATGGCCGATCTAACATACCCGGTTTCCCGCCTCTTAGGAGCCCGGGATAGGGATGTTATAATTGGTATCAGAGCCCATGATTAGATCACTTTAGCTCCGTTCTAAAGTGGTCACGCCCGTTTTTGTTTTCAAAGAGAAAACTGTTTGCGAAAACATTTTTATGAAAAATCTTTTTAAAATGTTTTCAAACCTAGAACAACCAACAACTTATAGACACTGATCTAAGAGATTCTCTTTTTCATTTTTCCTTTTTCCTCTCTCCTTCCTCTTCTAGATTTTGGTTTAGGACCAAGGAGACAGCCATGAAGAGGACAATTGCTGCTACCCGAGTGACCCTTCAGTACACTCCTTGGAGATGTAATGAGGTGCATGAGGCATCTACAAGTGGACTGAGCCAGGCCAGGCGAGCTCCTTCAGCTTCTCCTCTGCAGCAGCCTAGTTCAGTTCCTGCGCCTCCTTCTGAGACCAAGCCAGTTGCTCAGAAAATGGTGGAGCATGGGCGATGCTGCCAATGCCCGAAGACTTCAGCAGCACCAGGTGCTCCTCCGGTGAATCCACTTGGTGCTTGGAGAGGGTTTGCCATCCAGGCAGACATGACGCTTCTGGAGTACCATCAAGATTTTGTTAATGCAATGGAGCATGCACCTCAGGCCTACTCAGCTCAAGAGTTTGCTAATTTCTTCTTCCAAGGTCTGCATTACAACTTCAGGGCAAGGATCAGGGAGATGGGCAGAGGCATAGGAAGTCGTGTAAGGGAAGTCTACAAGAGAGCCTTGTGGGTAGAGAGATCCTTTCAGACTGGAGGCCCTGTCTACATCTCCTCTGACAGCGAAATGGATGAAGATGAAGACCCTTCTGAAGATGATCTTCCTGAAGATGCTGATAGTGATTAGGAAAAATTGTTTTCATGAGTAGAACTACTTATTCTTTATTTATTCTATTCTATTGATTGATTGCTTGCTTTAGGATCTAGTTATTAGGACTTAGCTAAAATTCTTTGTTGGTGTTTCCTAGTATTTTTTTTTTTTTAAAACTATATGTTCTACTCCTCATTTTTAAATTCATAAGAAAAGGGTTTTGATTTATTTCTAAAGTGTTTTAAATTGCATCATACCTTAAACTCTCCATCCTACACGATTATGTTGATCACTCTGCGTTCTAAACCCTTAGCCTCCAATTCCTTCTTGGCGCCATGTGTCCTATGGCTTCCTTTCTGCTTTCTCTTTCTTAGCCATTAACTCTTCTGTTGCCATGGCTCACTTAATTCTAATTCCTTTTCCGATTTCATTTGTGAGTCCTTCCTGACTCCATTTCTGCCTTTCCGCTTGGTTTCACTTTTGACTTCATTTATGCCTTTTCTCCTAATCATATTTCCAATTTCCTTTCTGAACTCATTTCTGAGTCCTCTGGCCTTATTTTTGTTTTTCTTTCTGATTTCATTTCTAATTTCCTTCCTGGTTCATTTCTGATTCATTGTTTTTTTTTTTCCTCTCAGCCTCTATCCTTTCTGGTGCCATAATTTCTTGTGGTTCTATTCCTAGTCTCCTTCCGAATTTTTAATCATGCTTTCCCTTTCTGATTTCATTTCCAATTCTCATCCTGGAACCATTTCATCTCCTGCTCCCATTTCCTGATCTCATTTCTGATCCTCCTTCTGATTTCATTCCTGTCTTCCTCTCTGATTTTATTCCTAGCTTTATTTCTGAATTCCTTTCTGATTTCTTCTCTGAGTTCCTTTCTGATTTCCTTTCTGGTTCCATTCCTGCTTCCATTCCTTGAGTTCATTTCTGAATTCCTTCTCTTCTGTGACCAAGGTCCTCTTGTCATTTGTGCCTTTGTTTCCCTTGGTTTGTAGTCTTCGAAATTCCTTTCAGGAACTTCTCTCTCTTAGGATTCGGGGACGAATCCTGTCTAAGGGGGGAAGATTGTAACATTCCGATTTTTGGTTAACCAAATATCGGATGTTACCAGTTCCTAATTCCGGTTTTAATTAAATTAAATCATCTCTATTTCCTTTTCTTTTATTTCCTTTTTATTTGGGTCTTTCCAAATTTCTTTCTAAGAGCCCATTAAGCCTAACCCATCTATTAAACCTCCATATAAATATCTAATTAAATCACTAAAACCCTCATTAAGCTCCTAATCAACCCTAGCCACCTTTTTTTCCTCTCTCTTTCTCTCCTCTCTGCACCGAGCTGCTCTCTTCCTCTCTCTCCCTGCGTTTTCTTCTTCTTCCTTCTCTCTCTTGGCCGTGTCTCTCTCTCTCCTTGCCGCAGCCGCCGCCATCCTCCGAGCCTCTCTCACCGCCGAAGCTTCCTTGCCCAGCCGTGATGTCTGCGCCGCCTCCTTCTCCTTTGGGTGAGATGGGATCTGATTCTGATGGATCTCCTTTTAGATCTCCTTCTCCTCTACCTCTTTCTCCAGTTTCTCAGCCTTCTAAGCCGGTGAGGGCTCTGTGGCTTCATCCTCTCTTACATATGCATGGTTGACTTTTAAGTGGTCTTTTCTTAGATCAGGCTTGGATCTGCTTGTTAGGGCTGTTAGAATTGTTTAGGACCTGGATCTATGTTGCCTGTTTGTTGATGATTGCTGGTTGCTGGTGGAATGAGATAATTAACCTGATATGGATCTAAACTTATTTGGGATATTAAAATATTGATTGTGTGATGTTGACCTGATTAATGTTTATTTTTGTTACAATTGGTATCACTGAAAGTGCATCTTAATAATGGAAGGACCTTTAAGAAAAGAATGGTTATATGAAATGGATGATTTGTGCATAGTAGATCTCTGTTAGGACCCCTGGCTCCTGGAGGCGGGAGTTAGTGTTGTTTGTTGGCTATCGCTGTCGTGGAGGCACGGCTAGAGCCATCGCTGGAGTGGATTAGCGATCCACTGGTTATTGAGCCGTCCAAGGGGACCGCTGGGTACAGCTTTCTGGTGAGACCGCTATGAGCAGCCGTCTGAGTGACCGTTAGTGTCATAGCCTGTCTTGGTGATTGCTGTGGACCAGTCTGTGTGACTGGCATAGTAGACCTGACTAATGGGTATGGTAATAGGCCAGCCATTGGATGGGATTATTCCGGTTGCCTTTCCGGGTGAGGCATGGGGGCCCATGTGGCAGCCTACTGTTACTGGCAAAGGCCAGGGACTCGCTGCTTGTATAGTTGCTTGTAGGACTACCCTTGAATGCTGTGTGAATGATTGCTAGGAATGAACTGTCTAGATATAAGTAAATATATATATATATATGTTGCTTGGGCTTGCTTTAAGATTAGATCTCTTAAAACTTATTTATGCTAGTTTGATGATGTTGTGGGCTTCCTTAAGGCCCATCCTTACTGAGTAATCCCAATTACTCACCCCTCATCTCCCCTTGCTTTCAGGTTTAATAGAGAGATCAGCTTAAGTCTATGTTGTTGATTGTTACCTAGGTGTTTTCCTGGCGATCCTATGTGCTCACCAAATCGAACATCTTATCGGACGCGGTTCGATGGCCGATCTAACATACCCGGTTCCCCGCCTCTTAAGAGCCCGGGATAGGGATGTTACGCTTCACATATTTTTATTCAACAATCTTGATCAATAAGTGTGTATGACATATTTTATTTATAATTGTATAATAACAATATGTTTTGTTTTGGTATGACTATTGATCAAAGGACAAGGACACTGGTATATGGGTGCTCGAGTTTGCAGGAGAAGAAATCGGGTTTTGGCCAGGAGATAGATTTCAACAAAGCTCTAGCAACGACGTTGAGTGGGGAGGAGAAGTATATAGTGCATATATGCCGAGTACTCCTCAGATAGGGAACGGTTATTTTCCCGAGGGAAAAATAACTCATGATGCCATTATACATAATATAACTATAGTCGACAAGGATTTTAAGATTTTTGACCGGATAAAGGATACCGAGCTATTCTCGGATAACACTCGTGGTTATAAAGTGTTTAGTAGTATATTTCCATTTCACCCGACAAAACCTATCATATATTATGGGGGTCCTGGGAATATCTAAAGTGAGAAGGTAAGTTTGTGTAAAAGTTGGAGACAAATTCTGCTAAACAGTTTGTAACCGAACATAGAAAATAAATTGTTCCCCTTCCTTGTTTTTACCATCTTGCCAAGATCTTCTACTAGAGAAATGCTGGTAAGAAGCGACTTCACAAGTCATATTTGCCTTTCTTCTTCTCTTACTAGGTAAGTTTCGTCATCACCAGTTATGAAAATGTTGCAAAGGGGCCAAAGAAAATGTGATTCCTCCTTTAAAGAGCATCTTTTTTTAATAATTAATTGAAGGCTTATAAATCGCTTGATAATGGTATATTAGTGTAGTCTTTCTATAATTCATAAAAATTTATATACTCACCCTAAAGAAGTAAAGAACTCGTATGTGCATAAACTCTGATGGTACCGACGAAAGAAGTGTCAGACAGGCGATTATGGGAGAAAAACTAAACTATGGCAGAGACAATTCTGTTAAATTTTAATGATAAATTCTGCTAAAAGAGATTGTAACCGAGTATCTAAATAATTTTTCTCCTTCGACGTTGATGTTTGGTGCCAACTGAAAATTCCGACACAATTTGATCAAATGGAAAAACCATGGTTTTCGGTTTTCTATAAATGAAGAAGAACCAGGAACTAAAAATATGAGAGACGTATTCATAGATCTCCAATAATAT